AATCGAATGGCCGCACGCGTGGCGACGGCGTCACAGGCTGTTACAAGTCCACCTTGTGGCCAGGGAAGCATGGTTCCATCCACTTATAGTGACGTAAAGAGCCCCGAAGAGAAGGCGAAAGCTCCCAATAAGAGGCGCTGTCAGGGTATGAAAGTGATCGTATTTAGTTCAACCCCCGAAGAGCAGCCAAAAGAGAGCAGCAATTGCAGCAAGACTCCTGCTCGACCTGCGATACCACTTGCAGCTCCTCTGCAGGAACCTTCATCGACAGCTTCAGCGTCCCCAATCGCAGCGGCGCTTCCCAAGACTGACAAGCAGCACTCTCTGAGAACACCTCGGAATGTCGAGGCTTCTAATGGCCAACAAGCCGGCGCCACCCCACGCCCAGTTTCACCCGCTTCAGGACCAGCTCACGATTCCGAAGACCATGTTATGACAGGGACTAACACTGTCCCGGAAGCGCGTCGAGCGATGCCGAATGATGGCAGCTTCGACCAGCCGGCACAAAGCTCACGTTGTCAAGATATAATCTCGTATCTAGACCACGAGTGGAACGCAGAGAACCTTGACTGGCTTCCGCCAAAGCTGCAACATTTCCGGTCGGCTCTTACAGCTCGCAGCCTCGAAAACTTGCAGAAAATCACCAGCTTGGCCATCAAAAACGGCACCAGACTTTCACGACTGTGGTCCGAACCTGATGGTCTTCTCTATCGCTCGGCTCAGCAGCAAACAAATGGCAAACTCAATTTTCCTGAAGAACTAGTTCACATGACACTTGATCTCTACGGGACGGAGATGGCAGGAATAGAGGGTCACCCGGCAAGGGGCCCAGAGGAAGTTCTTAAGGGGCCCTCTCGGCTAACTAGTCGACACGAGGTCGCAACTCAGGCGAGAACCACAAACCCCTCACCCTCCGCGTTATCGGCTGTTGTTCAAGATCCACGGGATGCCCCCGCCAGCCCTCAAGTCACCAACAAGCACGAAAGACCCATCGAGACGCCCCCACGGCCTCCACGAGAGGTGGTTGCCAAGACCTTTGCACAGGATCCCTTGGAAGCTTTCCGCAACGCCTACCCTTCCTATTCAGGGAGTACTGGCGACTTTGTCAAAGCATGTCTAACTATCAAAGACCTTCGTCGAAAGCTCCTGCTCCCCAAGTGGCTCTATGATGACTTCATCCGAGCCTTTGTGGATGGCTTCATCCCCTATATTGAAACCTTGGACGACGACGAAGCTCCACTCTCGGCTTATCAGTGGTATGTTGAGTATGTGGATAGCCCAGCCTTCCAAGGTGGCGTTGTGACGCGCGAGAACCTCCATCAAGTTTTTAGGGTGTATCACAACGCATATATGTCGGCAAAGGGTTCTCTTTCAGGTAAAACATCTGCGCATCCGGGAGTTGGACATAAGCCTTCGACCGAGACGACCGGGGTCAATCTTGAGAGGGGCCCCCAAACCAGAATTGCTCAGGTAGTCGAACCCAGGCCAGGGGTTCGACCAGAAGAACCTCAAAATTCGAACGCAACATCTACAGACCCATCACTTTTGCCGGACCAGCTATCACCTGCTGTCGCGCAAGAGGCAAAGAAGGGTATCATAAACGGCCGGCAATCCAGCATCGAAGCCAAGGATGACGACCTCTTGCCTATCGGGTCGCATGTTTCCCTCGCCAAACTAGATAAGGGCAAACAACGGATGTCAGTTAAGGAGGACCTAGTTGTGCGGGACGCTCCGGCATTAGCCCCGGCCATTCAGCGTCACAAGAACATCTTCTCGGGAGACCGAGAAGTCACGCATATCTCGAGTACCCCACGGCCTCGAACGGCAAACCCAGACGATGCCGGTTCCTCCAAAGATGAAAACCGCAGTCACAATGGTCGTACTGTCAGCAATACTACCCCCACCAGTCAGACGACCACCCGCAATTCGCTGCTGTCTGATGGGAGGCGTGTGTCTGCAGTGAAACTCCGGCAGAACGAGGTTATTGCGGAAACGCCCCCTCGAAGTTCGGCGGTTCCTGCCAAGATCGCGACACAGCACCCCGCAGTACGTCGAAGCCTGCCTGTATCATTCAGCTCCGCTACGCCCCCGGCTTCCATGCCGAGCATGGAAACGCAGCGGAGTGGCACGCCGAGGAGCACGTTCTCGGCTTCGACACAGGCTCACCGGGTCAAGAAGCCCAGGAACGAGACGGAGGAGGAGAGAAAAAAGCGCAAGATGATGGCCAAGCTCGAGAAAATGGCCAAGGAGGGACGGCTGGCGCCGCCGCTAAGCTCCATACCGCGAAAGTCATAGACTTGCATCGGGGGGAGGAGGAGGGGGGGGAACAGAAATTGATGAATCGTCTAAAGGACCGCCGCTTTAGCACAATATTCTTTATAGGCCTGCTTAGAGTTGTATGTAATGTGGTGGGAGACTTTTTTTTCTCTCTCTAAGGCTTCGTATGATACCCCCTTCACCTGTCGGCAATAGATATATATACAGAGTGTTTACCATACCAGCCTACCCAGTCTGCATGTGTGAAGGATTCATAGAACGCATCAATGCCTAATGGAGATGACGAGAACACAAGGTCCAAGATGAGAATCGGCAAGAAAACGGGAAACAGTTTAAGCTGCGAGCATAATCAATCAAAACTTTGTTTGGAGTGGATCTAGTTATGCTCTTCTTTTTTGTGACCGGCTCTCTGGAGAGGCTTAAGAAGTATCTATTGTCCCCGTAAGAAAAAACATGGTGCCATATCCAACGATGGCTTTCCGTCGTCGTATCCGAAGTCGTAAATGAGATGTCCAAAACGGTAAGGTTCGGTTTTCCGTAGCCCAGCAGCAAAAGCATAGCCCGACTCCGGTATAATGACATAAACACCCTTCCTCTCTCTCTCTCTCTCTCTTTCAAGTTCTCCGGTGGTTGCCCTGTCGGTTTCCCAGTATTCCGTCATGTCTTATTTTCCTACTGGAAAGGTCGTATGTCTCATATCGTGATTTGCTCCGAGGGGTTGTGCCCTCTTCGGGGAGTTTGGTTGGGTATATCGGTATCATGGTATTTTGTTGTCCAGTGATTTTTCTTCTTCCTTTTTTTTCTCAAGCCGAGTCTTCAGAGGACTGGGCCTCGGTCGCCTTCTTGGCATTTTGTCGCTCCTCCTCCTCAGGGGTGAGGGTCTTGAGCTGAAGGGCGTGAATGCCGCCCTCGCGGGCCATCTCCTCGCGGAGGAGGGCGTAGACCATACGGTGGCGGGCGGATTGCATCTTAGACCTAAAAGACTCCGAAGTGATAACAAGTCTGTGCAGCGATGGTGTTAGCTAACGATTTCAGACCCAATTGTAGACGGAAGGAGCAGTTGATCTGGGGTAGTCTCATACCTGAAGTGGGTTTCCTTGGAGGTGCTGCCAGCCATGGCCTTGTGGTGGCTGTGGAGGTGGGAGTCATTGTAGATTTCGAGGGTAGTGGGAGAGAAGGCGGCGGTCACCTAGGGAAACTGGGTTAGCAAGTCGGCCTTGGGGTCGTCGTATACCTCGAGGGGCATCATACCTTGGAGCGGATGGCGTCCTCGACGGGCGTGGCGGACGACATGGTTCCGAGAGGTCTGGCGGCACCGGCCGAGAAGCCGAGGGCGTATCTTCGCAACATTGGTGAGTGTGCTTGGGTTATTCCTCCGGTCAAACTACTCCCAATCCTGCCAACGAAGGGGCGGAATGTGTTCATAGGGGGTAGAAAAGGGGAGGAGAGAGAAAAGAAGGCGAGGGGGGGAGGAGCAAGTAGAAGTAGGTACGCGGCGGCTTGCGGGCTGCAATGCGGTGCGGCGGTAAAGGAGTTTGGGATGGAGGACGGTGTAGAAAAGCTGGACAGGGGAAGAATAAGAAAAGCTGACCTTGCTTCTGCTGCGTGATTGCGTGGTGCGGTATGGGTTTTGCCAGCCCAGCAACTTTTTTCGGTTTAGGTAGAGAAGGGGGAAAGGTACGGTGTGCGAAGTGTGACCCTGGAACTTGGGACCTGAGAGCGGAGCATGGATGATGTGGGATTGGGGGGGGGGGGTGGATGGGTGGGTGAGAGGATGCAGAATGAAGAAGCAAGCAGACAGGCAGGCAGGCAGGCGAATGACAAGCCAAGCAGCAGATTTTCCCACAGGCAAAAGAACGTTCGGTGTGTCGGTGAGAAAATGAAGAGAGCGGACATGCGGGACTGGCTTGGCAGGCAGCATGGCACATGTGGCCCCGGGCCAATCAGCGGGCCGGCGACCTTGTCTCTATCCTTCCGGTTGGGTAACCGGGTGGGATCCCACCACCGGGGGAGAAGTTCCAGCAGTGCAGTCCCAGCAGCGTGTATTACCTACCTGCAGTACGGAGTATAGCTACTTCTATTTACAGAGTATCTAGATGCCGTAGGTAAGGTACCTTGTATGTACCACGTCTTGCACGAAGGGGACAGCCAGCTCCAGGTCTGCGGGATGCACCTTGGCTTTTGCCATGTTGGCTTTTGTTCTGTTTTGTTCGCCGCACTTATTGGGTTGCTTTTTTTTTTCTTTCTTTTTTTCTTTTTTGCCACTGGTTGCAAAAGTTTGTATTCCGCCCCGCCTCTTGTAAGCAGGAGCGAGACGGAGATACCGGTAGATAGATATTACTCATTCATCGGCCGGCCAAGTTAGGTTTGCTTTTGCAGTATGGAAAATCAGCTACGCCCACCGCCCTTCTTGCTTCTTGTTCTTCTTCCTCTATGTAAGTTCAGAACCCAGAAACCTCTTCGACCCCATGTATTGGCCGTCTGTTAGCGCCGCGTTAGGCATGGCGGGCCAACTGGAACACCTAGAAGAACTGGAGAACCCCACGTACCACCTAACAACAACAACAATCAACAACGCATGGGCAAACCCGACACGCACCTCACGTTGTTTCGATGACTCTTCCGCCTAGCCCCCCTTGCCCATTCCTGCTCACCGCGTGTTTCCCCCCAACCCCCCGTCACCGCGCATCGCAAAGAGGAGCAAACACACGAGCGACACAGCAAAAAAGACTCCACTTTGGCCTCCTCTCAGTCTCACGCAAGGCACCATTAGATACCCGATCACAAGACACCCCATTCCAGAACATCCAGCTGTTCACTCGCAATGTCGCCAATGCATGCGGGCGGGGAAGATGAAGGACGCCCAGGCACTTTGTAAGGGGCACTTGAATGCGGTGACGTGTGGTATGGTAACATCAACATTCGGCAGCAGCAAAGGAAGAGGGTGCAGCAGAAGCACCATCACCACCACCTTACGGCCAAGATACCCAGGTACTTCTTTCTCCCTCCTGCGTGAGTTACCCAGGCGCTTTGCAATGGAGGGGCGGATAGGTAAACTACCGGTAGGTAGGCAGAGGCACCTCGTGGGAACTATTGGCCGCTTCCGAGCGGTCCCTGCCGCTAGCCAAAAGGCTACGTAGATTGGAACACGGACCAACGCAGCAACCGATGGGCATCCATTCCACGCCACGATGCTGCTGGATCCCAAACGCACTGAAGATTCGCAATCCAGTTTTCGATCGAGGCGCACACATACGGATAGCGCCATAATACTCAAGCCTGGTCTAGACTAATTACTGCGGCCCGGACAAGCCACACCCACGACCCAAGTTTTCCGTCCGGTCTTCGGCAAAATCCTCCCCGCGGCCCTGCAGGGAGAAGTCCGACCCAGGACCTGGCAGCAACCAACAAAAAAAAATTACCACACAACTCACTCGCACACCCAACGCTGCTGCACTGCATTTACCTGCCCGCCACTATCAAGATCCGAGAGTTGCCATCGAAGCCCGGGGTCCGTCCCCTCCCCAATATCCACTCCGTCCATCAACTCCGTGTTCCGATCCGTTTGATAATAACGCCATTGATAACGACGCATATCAACCCCCCCTCTCTCCCACACTTCATGTTGGCCTCCGGTTTGCGGAATGTAGCTAGACGGCCCGGCTGCTGTTGGTGCTGCCGAATATCCCCTTTCTCAGCCGCTCCCGCCATCCTCGCAGCTGCCGACGTCGCCTGTACAACTGCTCCCGCAAGCTCCCGTTCCGCATCACGATTCCTTGCTACTGCCCGCGCATTGCGAACCGCAAGAATGGCTTCCACCGCCTCGCTCCCAAAACTCCCCCTCTTCGAGGCCATCTCCCGGCACGACCCCGAGTCCACGGCCGTGGTCCACTCGCTATCCGGCCGCCGCTTCAGGTACGGTGAGCTCCTGGGCGACGTGCGCCGCGCGCGAGACAAGCTCCTGGACTCGGCGGGCAAGCGGGACCTCAATGGCGAGCGCATCGCCTTCTTGGTAGAGAACAGCTACGACTATGTAGGTAAGCCAAGTCGCAAGCCCCCGCTGTAGCCTCTAGGGCGCCCCCCCTCCCCTGGGTTATAAAGATGATGTAATGCGTGGCGGACCTGACATACGCATGCCTCCCAGTGACTCTCCTCGCTGCATTCGCTGCTCGCTCCATCGCGGTTCCTCTGTCTCCGGCCTTCCCCGCGGCCGAGCTCCAGTACATCCTAGACCAGAGTGAGGCGTCGCTGCTCGTGTCCTCGGCAAAGTTCGCAGCCAAGGCGAAGGAGGTGCTCTCAGCAAAGCTCGCCTCGAACCCTACGCAAGTCGAGCTGCAGAAGCACCACGGCGGCAGCGCGCATGAGCAAGTCGAGCTCGAGGACGCCGACGTGGGCGCCGCGGGCATGATGCTGTACACCTCGGGCACCACAAACAGACCGGTTCGTTACCCCACCAGACCTCCGTTCGCTGCCCCCGAGCGACGCTGATAATTCCTAAGAAAGGCGTCTTGCTCCCCCAGTCCGTCCTGACGGCGCAGTCCAAGTCTCTGATCGAGGCGTGGAACTACTCCCCCAAAGACCACCTCCTTCACGTCCTCCCCCTACACCACATCCACGGCACCGTCAACGCCGTCCTCACCCCCCTCCTCGCCGGGTCCACGATCGAGTTCATGTTTCCCTTCAACGCCGACGCCGTCTGGAAGCGCCTCGCCGCGCCCTTCATCGCCAACAACGGCGTCAACGACACCGATGGCGCCAACGGCACGCACGCCCTCCACAAGGAGAAGATCACATTCTTTACCGTCGTCCCGACGGTCTACTCCCGCCTCCTCGCGACCCACAAGGATCTGCCCCTCGACCCCGCCGAGCCGACCCGCGAGGCCGTCTCCCCGCGCCACATGCGCCTCGCCATCTCCGGCTCCGCCGCCCTGCCGACGCCCATCAAGGAGTCCTGGAAGACCCTCTCCAAGGGCAACGTCCTCCTCGAGCGCTACGGCATGACCGAGGTCGGCATGGCCCTCTCCTGCGGCCTCGACTTCGCCGACCGCGTCGACGGCAGCGTCGGCTGGCCCCTGCCCGGCGTCGAGGCTCGCCTCGTTGACACGGACGCGGGCGCCGTCATCCCCCCGGGTCAAGACGTCGACCCAGAAACCGGCCGCGAGCGCTCCGGCGAGATCCAGCTCCGCGGCCCCACGGTCTTCAAGGAGTACTGGCGCAACCCTGAGGCCACGGCCAAGGAGTTCGTTGAGGGGGAGGACGGCAAGGGCAGGTGGTTCAAGACGGGCGACATCGCCGTCCGCAGGCCCGTCCCGAACGCGGGCCTCAATGCGGCGCGATCCTCCTGGGCCAAGGGCGACATGTACTTCATCCAGGGCCGCAAGAGCGCCGACATCATCAAGACGGGCGGCGAAAAGGTCAGCGCCCTAGAGGTCGAGCGCGAGCTGCTCTCGCTGCCCGAGGTCGCCGAGGCCGCCGTCGTCGCCGTCCCTTCGGGCAAGTGGGGCTCCAAGGTCGGCGCCGTCGTCATCCTCAACACGGACGTCGTCCCCCACTGGTCCCCCATGGCCATGCGGAGGGCCCTCCGCGACCGCCTCGTCAACTACAAGATCCCCCAGGTTCTCAAGGTCGTCGACCACATCCCGCGCAACGCCATGGGCAAGATCAACAAGAAGCAGCTGGTTCAGGCCGTCTTCGAAGACCAGTTCAGCGGCGACGAGATGTAACAACAGTGATGCTGGAGAAGAATCCGCTGCAACATCATGCGGCGATGCTTTGTTTGAGTAAAGGGGCTTGCTTGTTGGAAGATCTGAGGCAGACGAAAAAAAGACACTAGATGAAATGTAATAGAGATACCCCTTCATCTTCGGAAAGGCACGGGCAGGGTAATTTGGCCTAAACCTAGGTATCTATTCCGGATATTCGTATCCGCCTATGTACTATCGATCATGACCGTCTAGAAGTTTTAAAAACCCCCATTGATCTCTTTTTTTTTCTCTTCTTAGCAACGCCTTCGTCAAGAGCTTCTAACACTATCATGAGAGAACCTTTTTCCGCCCCAGAAATGCGTTATCATTGATGCGTTAGCACTGCCCCGTTTTGATCCTCCACTGGCATCAGGCAACCAAAAAATAAAGAAGAAAGAAAAGGTCGGCTGAGAAATGCGACGAGGGATATCATGCGAGCGCGAGTCGGCCTCCTCAACGAATGAGGGGTCTAACAAGCTCGATATAATGCATTGGTATGCCTTGTATTGTGTGTGTTTTTTTTCCGAGGTTCAAATGCGTCTCTTAGACGGTGTGCTTGGCCTTCGCACGGCTACTTCCACTGTGCGCACTGTCGGTGTGGCCAGAGAACTCGACGACCTCATTGGGCGGTAGGTTCAGGATGTCCTTGAAGCGCTTGCCGATGTTCAAAAGAATGTCACGGCCCTTATCCTGAGAGCGGCCCTTGCCACCAGCCACATCACCGTCACCACGACCAGGAATGCTCTTTCCGATGGTACGAGTCCAGACACCAATACGGAAGAAAGCCTTGCGAACGTTGACAACGACGCCCATGACTTCTCCGTCATCCTCGCCCTCGAGAGTTTCGCCGATAGCGGCCAACATGACGTGGAGCCAGAGGTCATCAATGGGGACGCTGCGCTTCTCCTTGAACTGGTAGGACCACTTGCCACCATGCTTGTTCTGGGCATCCTCCCACTCGGGGCGAACGCCAGCCTTGAAGAGGTGGTAGTCGGACTTGAGCGCCAGTTCGGAGACAGGAGCGATGTTGTTCTGGAGGCCAATCAGTAAATGGAAGGAGAGATCGAGAGGGGGGGGGGAGGCGGGGTGTGCGTACATATACGCCCCAGAACTCCTCAACAGAGTTGAAAGTGATAACCTCCTTCAGGAGGTCGTTCCAGTTATCACCCTGCGCCAAGTTAGTATACAGTTCCTCACATGCCCGCAACTGGCCCAACTGACCTTGCCACTGGGGGGCTTGGTGAACCAGAGAGTCCACTTGTTCTGCAAAGGGTGCTTGACATTGAAGTTCTCCTTGTCGTGGAAGACGGTAACGGGCTTCTCGGCGTCGGTCTCCTTGATCTCGGACTTTTCACCACCATCGGGGGAGATGGGAATGGTGGAGAGGTCGACCTGCTGGTCGGCGTTCGTGGGTGTTTGCACAGAGGTCGCCATCGTGAGGGGCTTGTTGTGGTTTTGGAGATGTAGGGCTGATTACGGATCGGACCGATGAGGGGTAGAATTGGTAGAGACGCTGGTAGGAGCAGGCTCTAGAGAGAAGACGTTTGTCGATGTAAAATGGGCAGCCCAAGGGGGAATGTTGCCGATCGCGGTTGTAGGGTGGAAGAGGTGGAGCGCAGGAGGGTTCCGCTCGAAAGTGGCTGGATGCTGTAGGCTGTGACGACGGTTGCTCGCTTCACTGTCGAGAAAGTGCTGGAGGGGACGGCGATTGCTTCCTTCCAGAGATTCGAGTGTGGGGGGGGGAGATTCCGACGTTGCGCCAGGCAAAGTCAGCGAAGATCGGAAAGGGCGGGTTCGAGGAAGGTAAGAACGGATGGTGGTGTTCTTTTCTTAGGCAGAACTGACGACGAGGTCAAGATGGGGAGTTGCGAGGAGGATTGCGCTCAGCAGCAGAAAGCCAGAAGAGAGAGGTTAGTGCACCCACCAAGAGGGCGTTGCTGGTCGCAAAAAAATGCCCAAGCGGGCGGCCCTTGATCCGCCCAACAGAAGACGCCGGAAAAGTGGGGTTGGGTCGGACTGAGGTGAGGTGAGGTGAAGCCATTTTTTTGGGGCAAGTACAACCTTTGCTCAGCACGTAAAGAGGTAAAGCAGGTACCGCCTATCTACCGGTACCCAGCAAAATCCTCCCGGGGTATGGTTAGGGCGAAAGAAGCCCTCCGATGAAAACAGGCCCGGATCCGGGCGACAGTTGAGGCGAGAACGGAGGTGAGTCCAGCCTGACAGGGTTTGCGGGAGTTTACTACGTAAGCAACCCCAGTGGAGGTCTCGTGCTAGTGCTCGAATGACTGCGCATACCGACTGACAAACCTTGGTTATACAGTTAGATACAGTTAGTACCTACTTCAAACGCCGAGTCTTGTTGTTTACGTCCTTTTCGGTTCTCTACTAGCCGTGTCTGTGCACGACTCGGTCTTGGATGTCATCCGTTCAGTTTGGCCGTTTCCTCAACTGGCTGTCTGATCACCATTACCATTACGATGCCATGTTCATAACTGCGCGAAGAAGGGAAAACGGAGAGGGAAGCTTTGTGTTCCCCCGGGATGGAGTTACATCTAGAGGGCGGTTCGCCTGCCTGGTATAGACCTATACCCAATAAAGCACATGTCATTCGGGTAGGTAGTTTCTTACTTGTTTCCTTCCGTCTTAATTTTCCTCACAACTTTTTTACCGTCCCTCTCTCTCTCCCTCTCCGACATCAACCCTTCCCGAGTTGCCCGGGGTGTTCTCGGCCTGAACCAAGCGTCCTCTCCTGACCCCTTCCTCTGCCCCTTCCTACGCCAGAAGCTACGTGCCTGTTTCGAGATCACGCCTTTTTCAACCTCTGATGGCACGACGTGAGAGTTTTTTGAGGTTTAATGTTAGAGGACTTGTCCGATAGGCTATCCAGTATGCAATCTACACAAAATGCTCATTTCTTCAACCCCCATATCCCTTACGGCCCACACCTAGTCGCGAGTCAAACAACACGCAATCCTGGAGTCACTGAACACCCTCTTCTGCACTTGCAAAGTCAACGGAGTCGAGGTCGACCTTGGGTGAATGTTACTTGGTGGCATCCTCTGGACAAGAATACCCTGCTGGTTTCAGCCTGTACACCCTCGGCATATCCACATCGCCCGGGGTTATGTTGACCTCGTCCGAATGGGGTGGCTAATATTTGTATCAAGGGTGCTTTGTTGCTGATGAATTGTACCACGTGTGCTTTATTAAATGGTCTTACCCTTTCGAGCTTCTTTCGTTTTGATTTCGAAAGCAGGCTGAAAGCGCAGGGAGAAAGACCAGCCAGTCCCAATGGGAATTTGCCAATGGCCGTACATCCCCAAGCACGCATCAGGACCATTGTTTGCATCGCATGACAATTCAAGCGACCTTAGTCCCTTGATGCTAAATGGCACCCCATGAATGAACTCCACGCATCTCTCTATGGCACGGAAAGGCGAAGATTGTGGTATGTCCCTTGTTTTTGAAAGACTACAACAAAGCATGCATGCCAATAGATAGGCTATTGTCGAGAGCGTCAACATAACTCGCTTCAATAAGTTATCGACCAGATCAGAAAACTTTCATAAGCCAGAACATGTGCCGAATAAAAAATGATGGCAAGACATCAAGGTTGCTACTAGCGAAGATCAGAGCTACACTCTCTCGGCCAAGCAGCCCCCCAATCTATTGACACACGATAGTCACCTTACAACAATGCGGCTTTCGTCATAACTCCTCGACAAGATTTTGCAGAGATCCATACTATTCAGCATGCCGTTCATCAGACAACGTGGGCAAAGCGCAGCCCATGCCAGCCAGCAATTAGGAAACTCGGCAACCAAGCCAATGTCAGCGAAAGTGCTCATGGCCAAAGACTTGAAGGACCTGGGAGGCTTCTTTCCCAGTCGTCTTCCGCTTGAATGGGACCTCTCTGGCCACGGGCTCACCGACAAATTCTTTGCAGATCATTACGCTGCCTTCGTGTCGAATGTGAAGCTTCACGTTGACGACATGTTCAGGGTCGGTGGCCTTCCGCTCCAAGGGTCCGTCTGGGCGATTTCTACTGAACGCAAGAACCGCGACTTGGAGCATATCATCCGAGCGATTGCCCGGCCAAACCCCTCAGATCCGAACTCCTGGGATGAGTTGATGGTATGCAACGAGAAGCGCATGGCAGTGATGCGGGCGGTCTTCGTGAAGATTTACTCGGAACAACTGTTCTCCATGCAGCTCTTCGGGGCAGACGATACGCAAAGGCGAACACTCGTACGTCAGGATGAAGAGTTTATTGGGCATGAAGGTGAGTATGCATTCGACTTGAGGAGCACGTCGACAGCACCAAACTTAATTTTCTTCCAGGCTTCCGCCGATCGAAACTGAGAGCCACGACGGTGAGAATGATACTTGCTGAGACCCACGGTCTTCCGCCGCTATTCTGGGCTCAAGTAGACCAATTTGCCTGCAGGGTTTTCAAGCTCCTTCATCCCGTTCTGACTTGGGTCAGAATGACATGGCCTGAAAACGGAACCAATCCTTCGATCCGTTCAATCTTCCAGATGATACACAAGGACACGGCTTATGCAGCATGGCTTGCTGTCAATGTACGAATGTCACCCACTATCCTCAATTTCGACTGGAAACTCCCGGGCGAACGCTACCTCCCAAAACAGGTCGAGGTCTATCCGGAAGTGTACACGAGGCACCGACGCGAGGTGACAGAACGCGAGTCTAGCGAAGGATCCCGTTATGGGATGGCTCACCCGGGATGTAACAACCCCAACCCACCAGCGAGAACTGCCAGGGTCATGATATCGGTGGTGCCTCTTGTGCAGAGAATTAGTATTGTCGGCGGAGATAATGGCGAAGAACCGCTTGGTTTCCAGAAGGCAACTCTGATAGCACCCAGGGTTGTCTACTACCACGGACTCGACAACGACCAAGACGACGCGGCCCAGTTCAAGGAAGGTCCCCCGAGGTGCTCGACCAGGAGCTTCTTGGTGCGAGCGGTCTGCGTCTACTCCGGTTTCTGTATGGTGATATTGGTCATTGGTTCGCTAATCCGGCTGCCCTACTCCGAAAACTTCTGGAACTTGCTCAATTGAACGTATTTCGAGTCGCCCTGGTGTTGAGAGGGCTTCCACAGAGCTAAGTGATCACTACGCGTACCTGTCAACATACTGTTGACAATGAAGTAGTGGGGATTGTCCAGCAGTTCTGCACCGGTTCAAGGCACCATGGGCTAGATTGGAAAGGACCATGAGCGTCGACAGGTTATTCAGTATATGGAAAAAACGTCCAAATGGGTAGATTATAAAAACTGGGACAGCACAATCCCCCTAGCCAGAGATGTGCATGTGAGAGAAGTGCATTGATATGGAAGTTTCTCAGACTCCGAGGCTGGCATCGCCGAGTAGGGTATATGTGAGAAGAGGCAAGTTGGAAATCGAGAGTTTGATTGACGCGGTCGTCGCGGAAACACACATCGCAGTAGGGTCCGCCCGGAGCACCAGTAACTCATCTGTGGGCTCGTGTACACACTAGAAGAAAAGCCGCTGCTGCCAAGAAGAGTGGAAAATTTTGTAAACATAGCAGATAAGGGAGAAGCAGTTCACGTAGCTAATGGCAGCGATGTCAGACCTGTCGATAGGGACTACTTTTGTTTGAGTAATATCGCTGAGCACAGTAGTAGGCGGAAGCAAAAGTATTGATGCGCCGAGGGGGAATCGAACCCCCGGCTCCCCGACGCTGCTTGATGGCAACGGAGAATTTTACCACTAAACCATCGGCGCTGGTCGATGAATGTGAAGATCCAAGCCCAGTGGACTGGGATGGTGGCAAGACCAAGGTGAGGAGATTATAATCCGAAGCGGTGTGGTTGTGCGATGTTGAAGGTGGGGGATCAGGGCTCAAGGGTCTCGCCAGTTGTTCCCAGGACAACTATCTTAAGCGGCAGCGGCTTTGTCAAAGCGCCTGCAACTCCACTTGCCGTCTTTCGATATGATGTAAGGAAGGGCCCTGGGCGGTATAGGGCAGTATGACATTCCCGTAAGCAAAGCCAGATCCGTCTCTGAATGTCATGCTCCCTCAAGCCTACTCTCGGCCGACGATGTGAGAGGTATTTCAGCGGTGTTGGCCATTCATCTGAAGGAGAAGTGTATGAAAGCGAGCCAATCATTTGGCGGACATTGACCAGTTGGGAAGGACCCCTTCAAAAGACCAGACTATCTGCCTGAGAGGGGTAATCGTTGATACACGTGCATGGGGGGATTGAGAGAGCGAGGAAATAGCCAGCTGTGGAGATACTCTTTGTGGCTACCTACACTAAGCAGCAGACTTCGGGGGGCCCGATATATCTGCATGAAAGCCTTCGGGCTGAACAGCCCCGGATAACGCAAACAAGATGGGACCGACGGCTTTGATGCTGGGAAGGAAGGGTCGGCCTCCTTTGGTATTGCCACTGAGGGTTGGGAGTCCACTACCAGGCATCTGGGCTGCTTGATTACGTCGAGTCAGGCGGTGAGAGAAGCACATTCAAAGGCGTTAAGCGCCGGCAGCGAGCAAGCGCGTCAGATTTAGGACCAAGTACGGAGTAGCAACATGACAAAGGAACCAGAAAGGCAAAAAAAAGAGACAGACCTCCCGGATACGATCCCCAAGTAGGAAGTTTGGCGTTAATGACAATTTACCTTTGTCTGCCTCAGCAAACCATTGCTTGACTCCGAGTTCTTCGGAGCTACGTGCCTAGTCAAGATATACACCAAAGACGACTGGCTGTGTCCTTGAAAACAACAAAATCACCCATCATGCCTTTCCAGCTGCCATGGGGATCTTCAGCAGCGAATGCACGTACAAAAACATGAAATCTGAAGGCCAATTGCAGTACTACCTTACGTACCTAGTGGTAAACCAGCAGCGCACTCTTCGCTACCCACTTTCTCGCAAAGGCGAAGCGAGAGAGTAGCGAGCCAGGGTCCGATAAGATAAAACCTACCAAGGGGCATTGAGGCGGGGGCCACAGCGGGAAAGTGCAAAAATTGCATTCGCCGCCCTCGAATCTCGAATTTTTGTGGCATGGTGGCATGGCACTAACCCCGTCTCAGCGCTGGAGGGGGGGTTGGTGGGTCTAGGGGAGAGACCCAGAGAAAAAAAAGTCGAAATTGATTTTTTTTGCGGCCTTCACAAAAAAAAATCCTGTGTTGAGACCCGGAGCGAGAGAAATTCTTGAAAGGACCCCACGTCGCCCGCCCGCCCGCCCACCCTCCTCCTTCACATATCTTTCTCCTCCGCGCAAACCTCCCAATCTTCTTTCCTCCCCTCCCCCATTCACACAGGTCTTTTTCTTGTCTTGTGCAATCCAAAATCTTTCAAAATGGCGGACGAGGTTTACGATGGTGCCATTGGCATTGACTTGGGTATGTTTTTGATTCCCCTCATTCCGGATGGTTGATGTATTTGACTTTGTCTTGGTGGGCGTGATGGTGGTCACTGAGGTTTCCCCTCTTTGGCATCACGATAGTCGCCACCAACAAACCGCAGAGGCAAAATGTCATCAACCATCATTTGTCCCTAGTGATGGATCGGGAACAATGGACCGTACTCGGAGAGGAGCATAAAGCTGACCGGGCCTCATCTTTCCAGGAACCACCTACTCTTGCGTTGCCACGTACGAGGGTACCAATGTCGAGATCATTGCCAACGAGCAGGGTTCTTTCACCACCCCTTCTTTCGTTTCTTTCACCGACAAGGAGCGTCTGATCGGTGAGGCTGCCAAGAACCAGGCTGCTATGAACCCCGTCAACACCGTCTTCGATGTCAAGTGAGTAGTCGCCCTGCCTACCAGTATCAGCTATCCCGCTATACCTGTCTCTTGCTCGTGGATGGTGAGATTTTTTTCTCCGCCCGAAGAGGGGTAATCCGGTGCTGAGGCCGAAGGCGGAAAATTTCAACCCTACATAACAGGTTGCTGACCACGCATCTGCTTACAGGCGTCTCATCGGTCGCCGCTTCGATGACCCCACCGTCAAGAAGGACATCGAGTCCTGGCCCTTCAAGGTTGTCGACGACGGTGGCAACCCCAAGGTCCAGGTCGAGTACCTCGGCGAGACCAAGACCTTCTCCCCCCAGGAGGTCTCCTCCATGGTCCTCCTCAAGGTACGTTTGTTATGGCAGCGCCACCGGGAAATTACCCGCCGGCCAAGCCACGATACATGCGCAAAGTGTTCAACATGCTGACCCCATCAACAGATGAAGGAGATTGCCGAGGTCAAGATCGGCAAGAAGGTTGAGAAGGCTGTCATCACCGTCCCCGCCTACTTCAACGACAACCAGCGTCAGGCCACCAAGGATGCTGGTGCCATCGCTGGCCTCAACGTCCTCCGTATCATCAACGAGCCTACCGCTGCCGCCATTGCCTACGGTCTTGGTGCCGGCAAGTCTGGCAAGGAGCGCAACGTCCTCATCTACGACTTGGGTGGTGGTACTTTCGATGTTTCCCTCCTCAACATCCAGGGTGGTGTCTTCACCGTCAAGGCTACTGCTGGTGACACCCACTTGGGTGGTCAGGACTTCGACACCAACCTCTTGGACCACTGCAAGAAGGACTTCCAGCGCAAGACCAAGAAGGACCTCTCCGGCGACCCCCGTGCCCTCCGTCGTCTTCGCACTGCTTGCGAGCGCGCCAAGCGTACTCTCTCCAGCGGTGCCCAGACCACCATTGAGATCGACTCTCTCTTCGATGGTGAGGACTACACCACTCAGCTCACCCGTGCCCGTTTCGAGGACTTGAACGCCAAGGCCTTCAACGGCACCCTCGAGCCCGTTGCCCAGGTCCTCAAGGACGCTGGCATTGAGAAGAGCGGCGTTGACGAGATTGTCCTCGTCGGTGGCTCTACTCGTATCCCCCGCATCCAGAAGCTCTTGTCCGAGTTCTTCGACGGCAAGAAGCTCGAGAAGAGCATCAACCCCGATGAGGCCGTCGCCTACGGTGCCGCCGTCCAGGCCGGTATCCTGTCCGGCAAGGCCACCTCCGCCGAGACCGCCGACCTTCTCCTGCTCGACGTCTGCCCCCTGTCCCTCGGTGTCGCCATGGAGGGCAACATCTTCGCCCCCGTCGTTCCTCGCGGCCACACAGTTCCTTGCCTCAGAAAACGGTAAAGTCTCCATTTCCTTCGATTACGCATACTATTTTCTCTTCAACAAATAGTTTCCTTGGCCCAAACTAACAGTCAGTAGCACCTTCACCACTGTTGCCGACAACCAGCAGACCGTCCAGTTCCCCGTTTACCAGGGTGAGCGTGTCAACTGCGAGGACAACACCTCCCTGGGTGAATTCACTCTTGCTCCTATCCCCCCTATGAGGGCTGGTGAGGCCGTCCTCGAGGTCGTCTTCGAGGTCGACGTCAACGGTATCCTCAAGGTCACCGCCACTGAGAAGACCTCTGGCCGCTCCGCCAACATCACCATCTCCAACTCCGTTGGCAAGCTCTCTTCCCACGAGATTGAGAGCATGATCTCTGGTATGTCTATCATGTTCCCTGGATGATACCTCAAGCCACTAACAGATCGTCAGACGCCGAGAAGTTCAAGTCCAACGACGAGGCCTTCAGCAAGCGCTTCGAGGCCAAGCAGCAGCTTGAGTCCTACATCGGACGCGTTGAGGAGATCATCTCCGACCCTACCCTGTCCCTCAAGCTCAAGCGTGGCCAGAAGGACAAGATCGAGCAGCAGGTCTCCGAGGCCATGGCTGCCCTCGAGATCACCGACGCTGGTGCCGACGACCTCAAGAAGCAGGAGCTCGCCCTCAAGCGTCTTGTGACCAAGGCCATGTCCTCCCGATAAATGCTCAACATATACCAAGGAATTTTCTTGTATTTTGTTGACGCGCGGAGGATGTTTACGGCTTTGACGAGGCCGCCTCGTTGCGGTGTATCTGGTTCAACTTTCTTGCGTTTGGGTGGCCCAACAGATTACGGCCAGGCAGGATGCGAATAATTTGGGTCAGGTGATATCAAAAAGGCACTTAAAAGTTCCTCCTTTCTTCCAGCCGCCTTCCCCCTATCATATACCTCCATAACCTCTCACACACACGACACGACTCTGGCATGACTCTCGGGCGAGTAGGAATGCCTTCCGGGTGCCGTCTTCTACGGCTTTCATAGATACTGTAGAAAGGATCAGGGCGACATGAAATGAAATTACGTCTACTTCAAGCTTCTTTACTCCCTGCACTGGTGTGACGAACTATTTGTGATATTCGTATATGCACCGTTGACCAAGAGGGCCGAGCTACGGTCTGGGTTGAGATGAGGTCACATCGGGTAATCTGCTCTTCTGTATTCGCTGGTCAAACTCGTGAGGGCCGATTTGAGGACGCATATGTTCCTAGCTAACCTGGAAACCAGCCTTCCGCCGGTCTTTTCTACCTCGTTTCGTTTGGGTCGGGCCTGGTTCTATCTCGAGACATCCAAGTGGGCGAAGTTCCCGAATCGCGAAGTTCCGGTCTCCCTGTCAGCCAACATGTGCCTCATCAGGAACCCATTGCTACCGCCAGGACCAATGCCATAGATGGCCTCGCCCAGCATCCGAAGTTGCATAAGGAAGTAATTCGTTTATCGCGGTTTGGCTCACCATTGTTATTACGTATGTGGTCTTTCTCGCACTGCAACCCGAATTCCTCGGTCTTCCTTAGCACAACGATCAGAGGACGATAACCATGGATGAAAAACGCCATGTCACAGTATAGAACTAACTAGTAAATCGGCAATAGGGCGGGGCGGACTCGCGGTCAGAAGTGGGGTCAAAGCGATGGGTTGACCAATTGTGTACCGAGATACACCACCTACCTGTTTGATCCCATAGTAGCCGTCACTCTCTGCTTCCTTCTCACTCATCCGATCCTCGCCAGCGTCCTCGTCATGCTCAGTCGAAGCTGAGTATACTTGATAGCGGCTCTGAAGCTAGACTGTAGGCAAACAAACAAACAAAAAAAAACCCTGCTGAGGGCGTGGTATCCTGGCGTCGATTGCGCAGCATATCGCCGCAATGGCCAATCGCACTTTTGACAAGTTCTTTGACCTCCCAGTCGAGATCCGAGACCAAATCATCTCGTACCTCTGCCTGCTCCCGAACCCGATCCAAATCGGCCCCACCGAGAGCTCGGAGATCCCCTTCCCGCACGACCTGCTGCTCTCCCACCCGCTCCTCTACGCCGCCGGCTCCGCCGTCTTCTACGAGCGTAACCGCTTCGTCCTCAACCTCCAGACCGGGTCCCGTGCCACCGTCGAGCGCGCCATCTGCGACGGCAGCGTGTCATGGCTCCTGGGCAACGTCTGGGCCCGCCGTCGCCTCCGGCACCTCGAGCTCTCGCCGGGCCGCCTGGGCAACGTCTTCCAGGCCCACGTCTCGCCGGCCGTAGCGGATATGATCCTCAACGGCGCCTTGCGCCACCTGAGGCTCGTGCTGTACCCGACGAGCGCCGACAAGGTGGTCTTCAACCAGGCCGCCGCCGACGCTCAGTCGAGGAGGGCCGCCATCACGCGGCGCGACGACGCCTTTGCCCATTCCCAGCCGTTCAAGGCGCTGTTGCGGTTGCTGGCTGATCCCGACCTGGAGACAGCCGAGCTTTACGTCGACCCCATCCACCGCGACTTTTGGTGTGAGTTCCACGAGGGCGTGGCGTGTTGCAAGGGGCACCGGAAGGGGCCCTGGCAGCTCATACCGATCGACTGGAGGAGGCTGGCTGCCACTTACGCTCAGGATCATGAGCTCAGTATTGTCCGGGTGGGCTGCTGAGTCCTCGGTGGGATCGGGCCCGGTGCCTTTCCCATGTCGCTGATGAAAATGACTTCAGAAGAAGTTGGAAGCCATTGGCATACCAACGACTAGCCCCTCTCGACGGATTCTCGTCTCTCCCTGCAGAGTCCGAGGGTATGATGAACACCAAGGGAGCAGCCAGAGGCTTGTCGTACCGGTTTCGACGTAGCGTGGCAACTCACTAAAAACCTCCGACGATAAGTACCGGCCTTTGAGACGTTGGAGTTCTCGAGGCGATCCGCAGCGCGAACCTCTAGGGTGCTATGATGGTCTGGTGTGATGGGTCTTGCCCATCTGCTTTGGATGTGTCAAACTGGGAACCAACGCGTAGACACTCAACTATGCCTCGGCTCTATCCACAGCGACTTGGTTGAGCCTTTCATCAATACTTACCAAGTTATCTGAGTCAACTCTAATTTCCTTCCATTTTTTTTCAACAGATCTGACGTCGTTCATTGATACTGTACTTGCGGGCGCCCATCGCGCTTTATGATTACTCCAAAAGAGAAAAGGCCGCCTCTCGAAGAGTGGCACTGCGCCCTCAGGAGAACGACCAGACAAGGCGTCCATGATCTCGGCTACCGGTATACCGGGCTCGGTCTTTGTCCATACGCTCGCATGAGCCAGGTCTAGCTATATCTTGTGCGCGGATGTCATTTTGTCATCCGAAGCTAGACTAGAACTGTTGATGCAGGGCTCGCAGATGGTATTTGGACCATTTCCCACCATACGATGGAGAAACTTGCACCTCCGAGAAGTCCAACAAAGGCCTCAATACGGTCCCCAACGAGACAGAGCCAGGCCCTCTCCTAGAGTTCGGTGTAGAAGGCTTTGTGTAGAAGTTGCCACAACCCTGCTGCGGGGCGCAGGCACCTCCTACGCTATCAACTTCACCCGGTTTCTGTTTACCTATGCAGACAAGCTTGATTGGTTCTCGGAGAGCCGCATAACACTGGTGCCCACGTCGGTCATTTTCAACAACCGGGGTCAACCCCCGCAGGCTGATATCGGTCTATTCGCCCTCATGCTGCGTCGATCACTTGCCGACTGAATCTCTCAACCACGGCGCTATGGTTTTCAGAGAGCTGTATACACGCGTGCGTGTTTGACTGTTCTATCAATCAATGCTCCGTCAACTTATCCGGACACGAAGCTCCAGGCCTTCAAGATCACCTGCCCAGTCAAAGACGCATGGAATGATCTCCGCAGAGACATGGGAATCGGTTTGGTTCAGGCCCGCCGTCTGGTCAATGCGAGTAATCTGGATTCGTATGGGGCCGTGATGTACTAGTAGCAGACCATGGCTCGGGCGGTGAACCTGGTGTCTCTGAAGCAGATCCGAAGAGAGAGGAGAGGAATTGCCGTTTCTGTCGGTAGATGCATCTCCCGCTCGAATGTAAATCTTGCAGAGTCGGAGACAGGACTTCCGAATCTATGCAACTCCATGGGTCTGGCTGAGCAGTTTGCAAACAGCACCAGAAAACGTGGGAGACGTGGGAGACGTGTTGATTGCTAGTAACTCGACTTCTGCTCTGCGCATAACAATGCTGGAAGAGATGTTGATGTTCAGTGTCCAGGCAGGCGGAACTTGAAAAGCGTCGTGAAGCCACAGTGGCGATTTCTGATAACGAACACGATAGGAAACGCCAGAGTTTCGAAGTCGTCAATTCAGCATTGCTCTATGATCTCCTTACAATGCGGAAGTCTGCTTTTTAGAACGCGATTGCTATGCTGACTGTGCCAAGACTGGCGGATGTGTGACACCGCAGGCCAATGCTAACCATTTACACGGCCAGCGCAACGCTTCATCACCCAAACGGCGTCCCTATCCGGCTCCCCTCCCTTCAACAGGCCTATCATCGCTCTACACTCCCGGCCTGAAGTGAGCCTGATGAACGGCGGCCCCACGGCTCGCTCTTATCGCCGTGTCCGAGTGGGGCCGTGGTCGTCTTTGGGGCCACCGCTCCATATCTATCAAACATCAACCCCTCCTCCCCCTCGTTGCCCCTTTTTTCCCCAACCCCGTTTCTCACGACTCTCCTTTTTGATGCTGCGCTAAGAATGGCACGCCCAAAACGGCCATCGAGCCTTACACCGGGGTCTAGATACCACGTCGCCAAGAGCTCCAGCCTCTCCCCCCCCTGATACGGGAAGATCTTTACATAGAAACAAAAAACCTCAACCACCCCCGGTTCAAGAACCCTTATAGTCCAGCATAACAAAACCGCCAAGAAGAGAAGATGCCTCAAAGTTTACATGGGTAGTGAACGAGATGGCCCCCCACGGGTTTGTTTTCTGCGGCGATTTAGAGCGTTTGGGCCTTCTCTCTCTCCCGAGAGGGGGGGGGGGGGGGGGCCTCGCCCAAGCTCGTCTTCTTTTCTCTCGTCCTCGAACAGTAGTCAAGCTTGGCGCGGGACCCTCACGAATCGGCTTCTCCCCCGGACCCATACGGTATCGACCCTCTATCGCTCCCTCCGTTTCCCCTTCACCGAGTTAAGGACGAGTGCGGGTACCGTGCGGCTCAGTCGTACACGTATAAGCGTCTGCTGCTATTTCGGCACTTCTGAGTGACCGCTCTTTCGACCAGGGGGCTCAAGACTTGAGATGACAAGCGGCGCCATTGCACATCCTCATGCCGTCCAATCTTGGCGCGTGTCGGAAGGTCGGGCCCGGCCCGCTGCCCGAGCTTTTTTTTTTTTTTTTTTTTTTTTTTTTTTTTTTTTGCCTGGGCTTGTGCCTGTTCGCCTCCACTGATGCTGCGGCTGCGGCTGCGGCTGTGGCTGCAGACAAGTCTCGGGGCGCCCTCCGTCGGTTGAGGACAAGCCACCAGACAACAAACGGGACACACGCCAAGGCTGCCGGCACAAACCACAGCTCAACGCATCCCTCAATGCCGTGACGTCGACACGGATCGGGGGTTGTATCATCGACGCAGCTTTCTGTGGGGACCATTCGCCGCCAGCTCCGTCTTTTGCATTCTGACCCCTGGGAATTGCATCTTGACTCGGACGGCCGTGTATCGAATGCGCGAATGGAACACGAAGGCCTTCCAAATTTGGTAATTGCAGGGCAGGCAGCGAGTGCTCGGTGCGCCAGGTGCTCTCTGCCGGCATATAGCGGTCGGTCACATGCCAGATTCGGCCCCGTCGATCTCTGCCCGGGTCTCTCTCACCTCTCATCTGCCAAGAGACCAGCGGCCGGGAATTTACATAGTACATAGTTGCAGCAGGGAAGAGGCTAGCAACCTGCAGTTGATGCAGGAGCAATCAATCCCAAGGGACTCCTAAGCTGTCTCGCAGCTAACAAGGTCGACTTGCAGGCCTGTAACTCCCTGCGACCCGCAGACGACAAGACAGAACTTTAAATGATAACAAAAATTCTCATGGTCTGTTGACCAAACCCCGACAACCGAGATCTCAACTCCAGTTACTTTACAAGAGACTCGGGGACAAACCATCAAGCGCACGTCACAAAACACAAAACACACGCACTCACGACAACCCGCCGTCCCCTCCCCCTTCCCCCGGGGCAGGTAAACAGTCTACAGCCAAAGAAAAACGAGACAGAAAATCAATCTTGATGGACACAGACTAGTTGAAACTATCGAAACCCGCCAGCCTCGGCATTGGAAGGGCCCCCTGTCGCGCTGTCCAATCTCTACCCCACGTGTCTCAATGAATCGCAGTCTTCCTTCCCCGGCCCAATCTGCCCTCAGTAGCCCCTCCATTCCAGCTCACCCACCAGAGAAGAAAGCATGAAGAGGTGGGGGAAGGGGGGGGGGGGAGAGAGAGGGGGGGGAGGAGGGAACAGCAGGTGCAGAAGTGGCAGCAAACGACCGTCAAACACGCAATCAAAGCAAGGCGGCTCACTCCAATCGATCTCGTCACCCCACACCATCAGGTTTCGCACAGTTGGAAAGGGGGAGGGGGTTGGTGAGCTGTCTTGCGCCCACCACCAGCTCTCAGACTGTGGTATCACGCAATCAACAACGCAGGAAGAGATGGAGACAGAAAACTCCCAGTCCTCGTCCTCAAACCCTCCAGGCCTGGATTGGTAAGACGAGCCCCGGAGAGAAGAGATATGAAGGCGCCCCCGTCACCTCCCCCCCCCTCTCCCCATGCCGCTTGGCCAGCGGGGGTCATATGTCAGATCAGTGCATGAAAAGGTCCACCGGATGGAAGCTTGGTGTTCCATTCCTCAACCTCTAGGCTCTATCTACACTTTTTTGCCCTTCCACATGCGGGCGGGTTGGGCAATAGCAAGCAAGCATGCTGACAAGCAGCCATGCAGAAAGAAGCTTCCTCCAGCTACCATCGCCCGCTCGCTGCTTCCACCCCACCTTTCGGTCTTTTGACACATGCATTCCTTCCTGACTCTGCTCTCCTCCCATCCGCCCTTGCCTTCCCTTGATCCGCGCGAGCCCGGCTATGTGACGGTATCCCAACACCCATTGCCGCCCGTTCCCGTGACGACTTTGCATTCTATGCCCCTCCCCCTCCCTGTCTGCCTTCAACTGGCATTTTATCTCTCGTTGGTAGACTACCGAACCGAACCGTGGAGACGATATAGGACTCACAGCCGAATGGTGCACGAAGAAATTTCAGCCCGGCAAGAGATCAGGTTGTATCAGGATCCCGTTAATAATTTGGGGGTTTTTTTTTGTTGCCATTTGGCATTCCATTTATTTTCTGGTAACATGGCCTTTTGCCGTTTCCCTTTCCCTCCCCTAGCAAATCCGCTTGTGGTTCCGTTTCCCTCCAGGCCTCTGTATCTTCAGGACAGTCTTGCCCAGTTTTCTTCATATCTGTTTGTATTTGGAAACCTTCTCGTGTCGGTGATTTGATGCTGCGCGCGCGTGATGTAAAAAGAATTCCATGAAAAAAAGAAAAAAGACAAAATATTCAAGCCGAAAGGATGCCTGCGCCAAAAAGTTTCCCGTGGGTTCTCCCACAAAAATCCCAATCGCTTGCCTTGCAATGGACTTTCTCCGGTTTCCTGCACCTCGAAGAAATGGCTTTGACACGGAAAATCATAACCGCTCTCTCTTTCTCTCTCTCTCCGGAGCATGGCTGTGATGAACAGTCTCAGCCCAGGAGGGCGGGGTGCCAGTCAGACTTGTGCTCGTCAGGGTGCTCGCCGTAGTGGACGGGGCCGAGCTTCAGGAAGCGCAGGCCGCTGGCGGCGCCGTTCTTGCTGGCATCGCTGCTGACGCTCGAGGTGCGGCGCTTAAGGGGAGCCGGCTCGGTGACGGCGTCGGCGGCGGTCGGCTGGGCCCTGAAAGGGTACGAAGACGAGGTGGTAGGGGCGAGGGAGAGGAAGACGGAGCTGTCAACGGGGGAAGACATATTGGCTTCTGGTGGTAGGTGGATAGCGCTGGATTTGGCTGTTGTGTTGTGGAGGGGTATGAGACGGCGTAAGGAACAGATCAACTGCCTGGAGATTTGGAGAAGATTGAGATGGTTTGTTTGGTAAAGGTTGAGAGCGTTGTTGAGAGTGAGAACTATAGCCGTGAAGGAGGGAGGAAGCCTGTCCGACTTTATATGTTGTGTGTGTGTGCGTTCTGGACAATGCGGAGGATGCTAGCTGACCTGATAATGCCCCTCCCCTTCCTCCGCCCTCCTCGTCCTTCGTCGCCACCCCCGGCACACGGCCAAGTCAAGGGAAGGTGACAAGGTGACAAGGTGCCGGCTACACGGTGCCGTTTCAAGCCGGGGTGCTCATAATAAAATCAAAAAAGAGGATACGCAGCAATATGGTGGGGGGTGGGTGGTGGTCGACTCGTAAGAACATCCGTTGTGCCAGAGAGTACTTGTGAATGGTGCGGTTCGTGCCTTAGTGCATGCTCATGCTGTCCTTGAGGCGCACAAGCCGACGCCGCCATCATTTATTTCATTTAATTTTCAAATTTTTTTTTAGTTTTTTTTTTTTAATTTTTTTGCCCGTAACAGCTTATTTTACGCATGCTACTGCCGCGATGCCCAATCGGCTACTGTATGGAGGGGCCAAGGGCAAGCCATAGCAGAAGGCAAAAAGCTGTGCCGGGATGTGCTCTGTTGTGCTGGCCTTGCATCTGTCCATATCTGTCTCGGGCCCCTCTCTCCATCGATACACGAGCAAATGATGTGCTGCTACCCTGCCGTGCGAGGAGCGCTTGTCTCGACTCTCCCACTCTCGCATCTACTACGGGGGCGGGTAGCTATCGCGGCCAGGATGGGGATTGTCGTACTATGATCTAAAACAAGACATATCCAAGAGGTTCTAATTTTTGATATGATGCCCTTCGCCGCTCTCGCCGCTCCCTGTCTCTATTTGCGCGGCGCTCTCGCCTGCCCCGTGTTTTGCACGACTGGATACCGGGGCGTTTCAATCAAGGGCAATGCAACTTTGCTCATGCACCCATATATAGAAGCTAAACCTGCCAAGAAAGCCACAGAGTCCAGATACCGGTAGAACGTAATTGATACAAGACGGAGAAAAGACAAACCACGGGCCCCGCCATGGGCGCTCTTGAAACCCTTATCAACAGCCAACCCATTTGGGGTTTGCTGCGACTCTTCAAGACCTGGCCCCGTCTATTCATGGCTCAGCTCCAGCTCCAGTTCCCAAGGGGGGGGGGGGAACGTGTGCACGTGGATCTCTAACTGGCCGAGCCTGTTTCGGACGACGATTGTTGAGAAGGGGAACCACAAAATGGTTGGGTGGAAATACATAAATAAAAACGAAAAGAAAGAAAGAGAAACGGTGGATTCGAGATCGACCAGAGAGTCCGAAAATTGAGCCACTGCGTTGGGAAAAGGGGAAGGCGTAGGAGTCTCTGCCTCTCTTACCCGCAGCTGGCATTGGGGTTGGTGCGCTTCGAAAGGCGAGACGCCCGGCGGCAAAGATGAAAAATAAAATAAATTAAACAAAAACAAAAATAACAACAGATAAAAACAAGAACAACAGGGGGTGGTGAAGGGTAGGCGACGCTGAGTGGACGAGGTGAGGGGCAGCAAAAATGGGTGCTGCAATGCATGCTCGGGACTTGCCGCAAAGCAAAATCGTGAAGTTCGTCGCATCGCCAGATCTGATATCACGACAGCAGTCCGGGAGTGAAATTGTGGAGCACTGGCCGGGCTTTGAGGCTCTTTTGAAAGTCAAATCCCAAGCAGGGCAGATCCAGACGGCCGAAGGGCCCCAAGGTGCCGGCCGCCGGACCGTCGGCAACGTCTCATTGGACGCTTCCGAGGGCCGAAGAGGATTTCCCGGAAGGACGAGAACCGGCACTGCTGGGTCCCTCCATGGCACGCCGCGCTGGGATAACCCATTTCCACCATTCGCGCCGCCGCCGGCCAGCCAACTGGCGGCCTCGGCTTTGCGGTGGAGCAGTGTAAACGGCGGCTGGGCGGCCACCGGTGCTGCCAGACGCCGCCATCTTCCTCGCCATTCCGCACCTCCGTGAACCTTCCGCTGTCACCACATAAACTCTGCTTCTGCATCGACTCATCGTGGCTCCACCTGGCTGGTTCAGCCGAAAAGCACTAGTCTGCCGTCACGCCACAGCTCGATTTGGTGGGTTGGTGAGATCTGGCTGCCTGCTTGGCTACCTGCGTTGCCTGCGCTTCCTCCTCCTCCTCCTTCTCCTCCTCTTCCCGTTCCTCCTTCGCTATGCGGTATATTCTGTAGGATTTGGGAACCCCTCCTGATCTCCTTTACTTGCATGGAATCCTTTGAGGGGTGGGATGTGGAGTATTGGCGAGCTGTAGGCACTTCCTTCCCTAGGTGGGAACTCCCAGGTTCCCGGATGCGTTTATCGAGTTTGAAACACCAGTGAGCGAGTCTCCGATCCAGCAGAAACGCGTATGCGGTCAAGGACGGCCTTAATATCTACAGCACTAGGTCAAAAGTCTGGTCACAGCAATAAGGATAACCCAACGAAGAGTCGAAGGGGGGGCCCATTAATAGCTCGAGGTCGCTTCACAGTGCGTCACCAAAGGACCTGTGTCCTAACCACCTAGTACAGCTTTTGGTTAGCCATCCTTATTGCTACGACCAGACTTTTGACCTAGTACTGTACCTCTCGTCTGGATGAGACGGGAGCAATCGGGACGGCATGCCATCTTTGCACTTCCATTTCAGTTGACATCAATATATCACCTGTGAACACAAGCACAGCTACCACCTACCTGCATTCTCGTACTCTTCCAACGTTGGGAAGGGCAAACTTGAGGTGGGTCAAACGAGTATCCGATGACCTCTCAGTTTCTCGGGCTAAATGTGAATGACATACCTCTCAAGACCGAATAGAGACTGGCCTTTGGCTGCAGTCTCGGTAACAGTCGGGGTAACCGGTCCCCCCCCTTTTCGACTAACAGCCCCCCTTTGCCCACTTTCGGTGAGCAGTCTCTCACGGCTTCCAACTCGCAACGGAAATCGCTTCCCAATGGGTCCAACTCATCACGATGCTACAATCTCGGAGATGAGTCTTCAAATCGTATGTCATCTAGGGTGCGCGTCATGGCAACAACCAACTGCTGGGATACTTTCCGCCTATCAAGCCCGACACGCATTTGCCGAACCGTTTCTCGAGAAGGTGGTGATCCCGTGTTCTATGCGACATACGGGCCGTCCGCAGACTCATCGTAAGCCCCGCTTGTATCCTCCGCAGCATCTTGGGTAGTAGCACGGCATGGCTGTATGAGCAAGGGGCGCTGAAATGACCTGGAAGAATGCCATCACCAACACGAGAATATCTGCAACATGGTTTCCCCCCAAGCCTCGTCATAGATTACGACGCAGCTTTGGTGGTTGGAACTTGCATTAGTGGAACGCCTGATGCGAAATTTGTTTGTGGATGGCACAAGTACTGTACGAAAAGAGACTTCGAAGAGATCATCCCAAGAAATGGATGGCTGCCTGACCTTGCCTCACACTCTAGAGGTGTGTAAAGTGTGATATCACGCCAGGGACGGGTAGGGGGGGCGCGGAGGAGACGTCGGTCCATCAACAACTGCATTGAGCAACTTCTTCCAGGTTAGCTCCATGTCGATGCAGTCTTGGTATGGATAGGGGGGCATCGCAGACCAGGTAATTCCCGCAAAAGGCCGACGGGATCATAGGTTCCAGGGAGACATTGACCACCAATGACCCTACGACCCGACTGTCGCGGAACGGTCGGTCCGTATACGGCCCTTCGACATCAGCCCCCTGATGCCTGAGAGGTGCGGTGCTGTTGGTGAAAGGTAACGAGCACTGCAGATATTGTCAAGGCCATCTGTATGCCTCGTCAAGAATGACGAGGTCTTGCCCCCTACCTGATTCTCCTCCCGCCTATGTAGTCGATCCACCATCCACCTCGGCATCCTTGTCTGATGACCACTCCCGGAGCAGACAGAACGATGGCTCAATACTATGAGAAGGGACGATGGTTTGCAGACTTGGCCGACGGGCATTTGTGAAGATGCCGAACGCCACGAGATCCCCCATGCGGTCAAAGTCGTACAAGTCGTGCCTAAATCATTGAAATTGAGTCGCAGTCCTGGGCGGCTACCGGAAGAATGAGTGGTCGTCGGTATAATAGGGTCAGCTCAGAGGTCCAACGAGGCGCTTATAGCAGCGAAACACAGCTTCTGATTGGCTGACGGCACCGCGCAATGCGACTCAATCACACCTCGCCTGCTTAGACGAGGACATTCCAACAATCAACGTCTGCAGCATGCTCGGCTTTGTTGGGTGCTCTGCTTATTTTCCCGCGATGACCTTTCCCCAAGGTCGACAAGGGCGCCTGATCGCGGCCTTGAGCTTCCCTGCCGCGATTTTCGCCTAATCAGGTGTAAGTGATAGCACCCATAATTCTGGGCGGTCCTTGTGACCAGCCGCCATCCGCCATCCATAACGCGCTCCCCCATTTAGGCGAGGGTGTTGGCGCGGCTTGCCACCACTCGGCTTGATACAAGTCTTGGACGGGTGCGAATAGGAAACGTGCAGAAAGGCAACAATGTCAAATCAACCCCTGTCAACGCTGTCCAAGTCCCAAAGAAGTTGCGAAGGCCGACTGCGAAGTGATGAGATGGCCCCATCCCCTTTCCTATTGTAGCCAGGGATGCGTCTGGAAGTATCGGCCTTGTTGACGGGTTATTACGGCGGTCTGGCTTCAATGCTGGTATTGAGAGTCGCATACCCCTCATCGGTAAGAACGCAGGCCAAGAGTCTTCGTATTGATTGTAAGATTGGCTCGTCGAGACATCGGGATATGGCCCAAAGGGCCCACAGCCAAGTTGGACCAGAGCCTATGGTCCACATACATTCGGAATCAGTTCAGGCAAGGACTGGACCCAAGACATCTGCTCAACATTGGACTTGGCTTATGAGGCAACGGCAGCTGCTAGACACCGGAGCCCCAACCCCATGTACCATTATACCGGCCGAAGGGGGAGAAAAAAGGGCGTAAGGTGCGGCTTCGAGGCTAGTGGCGGTGCTGAAGAATCTCGCCAGGCTCTTCACAAGTAGCCCTGATGACACCAACACCGCATGTACTCCTTTCCATGTGGGAGGCAGATGATATCCATAAAACGCCGATGGAGAGCGAGGTGGCCAGGGTCCAGGGGCCACAGCACCTCATCATTCGGGATGATTGGCAGACCAGCTGGCCATGTGAGATGGGCTGCAGGCAGAAGATGTGTTGGGGCGTTCGAAGAAGCTTGCCTGGAAAGACTGCCGGCAAGGATGGGCCGCACATGAGGCCACATGCGGGCGATGCGGTGTGTTGGATGCCAGTCCGGCCTGATGGCAGGGTCTTTGGCCTAAAATCCAGTACCAGACCCAACCCAACCCGACAGTCAGGGGCCAGGCGGCGATGCGGTGACCAGGCTTTCTTGGGCGGCGGTCAGTAGAACCCGTATCGAGGATACATGACGTCCATGAGTTTGCTGCTCTTCTTGATTAGCTGACTGGCCAAGGGGCCCGCCCCCTTTTACCAAGTAGAGCACTAGGTGCTCAGGCGTACCCCTCGCCTCGGTCTGTCCGCGATGCAGGAGCAAGCATTAATGGCTCGATTTACGAGGTCTTGGGTGTGGCTGAGGGCACTCTGATAGCTCGGAATCGAATTTTGGAGGTGCTACCGTTGTGACTGAGTGGACGCCGTTGACGATGAGGATCCGAGGCGTCGTTACGCCACGCCGATAAAGAACTTTGGGTCTTCTGTGACGCATTGGAGACGAGTGAAGTGGTGTGGACGTTTTGGGTAAGCCGTGCTAGAGGGAACGGAGCCGTTGACATTGGAAACGCGGCAGAGAAACAGCCAAAGGAGCCCGACAGGCGTATGGCGGCCGCCCTTTAGTTAGTTTATTAGCTTGAATAGCAGACGATGCATCGACGGCCGTAACCAGTGACTAGCTGAAGCCTCGGAGCGTAGGACCCGATCGAACTCGGGGGGAGGCTCGAGATTAAAGGGTAAGGCAGGCAGGTGACTTGTCTAGCATACGGACGTAAGGTATTGAATGACGCCAACGTAGCGCGTCTCGAGCGCGCCTGACTAGGTAGTATTCTTAATGGCTCGAAGAACGTGAAGAAGCGGGAAAGTAGCCTCTAGCTCAGGTGGGTAAAGTGCTTCCAAAACCTTCTTTATTTGACGATGGCTTTTGTCCATTTCCCAGAAAAGTTATACGGTATTGCCATAAGCTAGAAAAGCAAGAGTGCGCTACGTACCGGCTTGTCTAAGTTGACGACGAGATAGATATTGAGAGAGGGTACAAGGGATATATCATTGTGATTCGTTACAATCAGACATGTTGAGAACAAGAGAAGTCGACATGTTGGCGATTTGAGCGATAGGGGAAGCGTTGAAGGGGTGCGGCCTGTTGAGAGAGCTGGCTAGAGTGAGACACAAGCAGGGGGGGAGAAGATGGAACACAAATAATATGAAAAACAAACCAAACAAAACGCAGTTGCCCAGAGTTGGTTGGCATCGCCTCATTCCAAGACTTAATGCCTGGATACTCATACTGTGCGACACATAACATACCGCACACTGATGAACAGTACGCATTTACGCATTGGAACGGCATCTCCTTCTCGAGTTCCATCGTGCCTGCTTCTCATATCCCACACAGACGAACGAATACCTCAACCAACCATCACCCCTTCCCCTCCCGTTCTTTCCCGTCACATCCCGTTCCAATCCAACCATGGGCTTAGGACATGGGACGTTTCTTTTCTTCCACAGACCAACCGGGGCCCTTTGGCACATTACTGCCGAGCACATTAGTAGCTTGATGTCATTGACTCCGAGCTTCCCCATGTGCGCAGGCTAACGCAGACACGGGTAACGTGCAGTGTGCATCTGCTCTTGCACAACATCTGTTGCTCTCTCGGCCTCCCCATCGGCCCTGGCCTCGTTCGATCCCACCCTCCTCTCCTTTATCTTCGTAAATCTAGTCTCTCTGCCCCTGCACTTACACAAGAACAGGGGCCAACACCAACGGACACGGATGGGCAACCCCAAACGCGCCAGGCTTTCTTTCGCTTGTGCTTCTATCTGTACTAACCTCAGCCGACCCATTCTCCAACCTCGTTGGGCTGCCTATGTCTTGGCTAGAGACTGATGAAGCCTGCCAATCTCGCCGCCATGCGCAAAAGCATTAAGAAAAAGATCCTCCTATAGGGACGTGGCGACCCGTCTTCCTTGCGAAATCCGTCACAGAGGCACGGGTAGTCGTCGACTCCACTGTTGAGGCGAACCCCCCCCCGGTCGATGATGTCGCTTCCCGACTGCTATCAGCTAATATGTACAACGCCCGCTGTGCTCCGGGGTCTTGCAGTGCTTTCACAATGCCGAGTGCCCCATGCTGTCGAACTCCTGTAAACATAAGAAAGTATGCCGGGGCCGTTCATCGACGGCGTCTCAATGGAATGGACAGTGCCGCGGCAAACCAAACCTTTTTCTACTCCATGCTGGCTCGGCCCAGGCCAAACCAACCCCACCCCGGGACCCGGATGTTGTTGGCCTGGGCCTGGAACTTGAACTGGGTTCGGCCAAGGCAGGGATGGTATTCTGGCCAGGGACATTGTTGTGGGTGTCGATAAAGGCGTGGACCGACCAGCCGATCGACCGTCTGCTTGACTGGTTCGGTCTCTTGTTTGGTCCAATTTTTACCTGGAGAGATGGGACACACACTCAAACACACTGTATGGGAGTGGCCGTTGCTCTGTCGGATGTCACAGGCACAGACAAATCAGTGACTAGGGTGCTCGTCCGAGCTCCCTACGATGTTGGAAACACAGCAAAGCATTGACGGCCATAGATGGGAGATAGTCCTTGGACGGATACAAAGGATATCAAGCAACGGCCTTGCCCAAAAGAGACTAACAAACCGGGCTTGACGCGGATCCCCTGTACGACATAGTTGAGCGACCCCCCGCTCGACAAGGCGGCCCATCTCGACGCTTGAGTCTTGACAGTCGGCTTGGGATGCACTAGGACCAGCCCACGAGGGGTTTCTCGACGCCAACCGGCCATGTACAACCATGGCCGAAGTCGGGGCATGGGTAACCCCTTCTCTACGTGCTCTAGCTAGCTAGCTACCTACCTATACACCTTGCACCACGCTGGAAGAGCCCAGAGCTGATTGCACTGCACAACATGGCTCTGCTCTGCGCACGGCGTCGCCCACGCCAAGATATCCCCGGGCCAGAATGACTATCGGTTTGTGTTCCCGTATTCCCATGTTCACCTGGTGCCATGCCATGCGGCAATGGGAACACACGAGAGGTGCACCTACCTTACCTACCGGCCCTACCTGCCCTGCCCGACTACCCGTCACCAGTGATTGAAGCGGGTGGGGCGGCTGTTCGTCTTCACCTTCCACTACTCCCAACCCTTCCTTCCTTCTACGTTTTCTTCTTCCTGTTCTTAACCCTTCCCTTCTTATTCTTATCCATATTCTCCTTCCTTCACTTCTCCTACTTCTTCCCCCAACGGCCTCTGGAGCCAACTCTACAAGGTTCGCTTCCCATCGGCAACCCACCCCTGCCGCTGCTGGAGACTTAAGGAAATCTCGTCCAACGTTGGGCCCCCCCGTGCCGATAAAACCAACCCTTTGGGTCACGCGTCGCCCATACAGTCTTCATTACGGAACACCAGAGAACAAGGCATTGCGTCAACAGGCCCGCCCGTATACGCCCCCGAGGTGCATATTTGGGGGCCCTTCATTTTCGGTGGATATCACGTCCAACAGCCATCGTTCTCCAAGGTCTCCTGCGAGAAACCCTGGTCGCTCACCAACACAACGAGACGGCACCCAGCCATTACGTCTCTTTTTGAGCTAGCGTACGGTCTGTCGAAAATACAGGCACGAGATTTTGTACACGCATACCAACCATTTCCAGTTGTGACTTGGAAGCACAAGGTTGATCGTTGGCTTTGGGCAGGGGACGGAGCCAACGACCTGGGCTGAGTCGGACTAGGCTTCTTTCTCCACGGCCGCCAAATTCATCTCCACAACCCAGGCAGCTTGTCGACCCTCCCCTCATGCAAAGGGGCAGATCGAACAACCCATCTGCCCGGTCCGCACCCGCAGCCAGCATCTCTCGCAGGTACATTGACTTACCAGGTACAAGTGATTGCCATGATCCGTTGCGTCTTCTATATTGTATCCCTCCACCAAGTCACAGCCCTTCCTGCGGCAACTCCTACATTGCAAGACGTCGGACGCACCAACGCCTCTCGACTTGGACCTACCGAACGCAAGAAACGCGGATAGATTGGCAAACAACCAACAGCCAAGGTGTTATTCTCCATTTGACATCACCGGTGTGATAGCTCTCTTGTTGGACCTCCATTTTTCCTTTTTCATTTTCTTTCGCTTCGGTTGGCAGGTCTGACGATGGCAAACAAGTCAGCCCACTCCCGACAATTCATTACAAGCCAATAACCAGAGTCTCGGATTCGTGTTACGAAGAGATATAAGACGGACGTACTCTCCCGCCTTTCAGCTCTTGGAAAGAAACACTCTTCATCCAGCCAGAACAACCACAGCAACAGCAACAGCTACTATCACAATACGCACCAGACTCTCCATCTTGCGACCTATACTGAAACACCACGATCTCAGTCTCAACAACGCGCACGTTCATCGCGAAAGCCTCCACAGTTCCCTCTCCCCTTATCCCCCTCTTTCAAAGAAACCTCCTTTCAGTCAAAATGTGCAGCAGACCCATCATCACCTACGCGTGCGGCCACGTTGAGGTGGGAGCGTCGTGGGCTTGTGCCAGCGCCAAGACGTCGAGCAAATGCGCAGGGGTAGTCGACAAGCCCGAATACAAGTCTATGCCTTGCTATACATGCCAGGCGAACGGACAATCGTAGGTCAGTTACAAGACCCAGCCTCCATGATGTGCCAACTAACGGAAACGTTTTATCATAGGTTCAATGGCCCGCGCAAAGTAGACTGGGGGCCAAGGCAAAGGTTGTGAATAACTTTCGCCGGGGCTTCTTTGGATCTTGAGGCTCACGCCTCCGAGTTCGCTTCTCTTCTTTTTCTTCTTCTTCATTTTACAGCAGTACGGTGCCGACGACTTCAGCAGGATGTAACTTTTTAGAAACAAATCCTGGTTTCCATCGTTTTTTTATTTCGTCAGCATGCTGCTTTTTTGTTTTTGTTTTTTCCTCCTTGCATTTTTCTCTCCTTGTTTGCTTTGCGACAACGGCGGACGAGAGATATCAAACACGGGGTTTCTTGGGATTCGCAAGGTAGTCATCAAGTTTGCCGGTTGACACACAGCCTAGACAAACGCTTTCTCTACCTATAGTTCTTTGTTTCGTGGGAACAATTCAATCATTCAAAACCGAAGCCTCTTCTATTGGTGTTCCCGCAAGTGACTTCTGGTAGACAGGCCCAATGATGGCCGAATAAGCCGCACCTAGCCTCGTCAGCGCGCATACAAGGCACGCATGTGACGGCAGGCAGTGTGACCCTTCATCACCGCCACTGCGAAAGCCCCAGTCGGGCTGCCTGCATTTCTTGTCGGGCCGCGTCCAGTGGCTCGAGCTTTCGGACCCCAAGAGGCGTCGGTTTCGAAATGTGGGCTGGGGCGGCAGCCAGGAGAATGCGGCCGAAGCGGCGACCTGTTGGACTGTCATAAATTTCGAAAGGTGGCACGGCAGTAAACACACGGGAACGGTCCGCCTGCAGAAGCATGCCGCCTCGTCCAACGGCCAACGGCATGTCGCGTGGAAACAGACGGTGTTTTTTTTTTCTTCTTTTCTTTAACTCCTCAGCAGAGTCGTACATAGCCCCCTGGTCGATATCCGAGAAAAGGCGATCATGCAGACCACAAGAGCTCGCAGGTAGGGGGGGCACGAAAGAATAAGACCTGGGGGAGGGTAGAGAAATCTAAACCCTCAGCCCCCCAAATGCCTCTTGTCGCCATCTTCTTACTTTTTTATTTAATTTTTATTTCTTGACTTTTTTTACCCCCCTGGGGGTTTGCCATTGTTCCCATTCAGCGGCAATCCATATGTGGTCACCCCCCTCGGAGCAACAGGCCACGAATAGGACGCCCGCCGGGAAATGTAAACGGCAGCGATTTTCGCCGCACGGCGCATAAGACTCATACGACCCAGCATAGGGGTCGCGTCATGTGATGGCAAGCGAAGCAGGTTCGTTTCGGGCCTTGGGCGCAAAATCATTGATGCGAGAGGGTGGCACGCGCGACAAGCGGGAATGGAGTATACTTAGCCCGCGGCACAGCCTCGCGTGCATTTGCGTGTCTCTAATGTCTTCTTTTCTTTCCGCCCCCTTCCCCCCTCCTCTCTCTCTCTCCCCGTTGATGCGGATGTTTACAGGAAGAGGGGGTTGCTTTCCCTTCATTTTTCTCCTAATTTTTTTTTTCCCTCTCCTTCTTTTCCTAGTTTGACAACGACTTTCAGGAACCAATCTCGAATGTACGCGATGAGGGGGAAGAGGAGGATAAGAGCCGCTCGAGACGACAACGGGGCGACAATTTAAGCCAACCGAGGATGAAAGCTAGGCTGGAACTAGCATGCACCTGTCAGATGTCACATCTCTGTCTCCGTAGGGCGGACAAGGCAAGAGAACGAGCCACACTATGCCACCAACCTTTTCGACCGATGCTACGATAGGCACAGTAGGTTACCTACCTGGGTAGATTGCGCTACGTTAGCGTAACGGCGGGGACTAAGAACATCCTTGCGCACCAAGAGAAGCGGATGAGATGGGAGGGGATCGGATGGGAAGTCTCCTGCTTCCTTTCTCTCCCACCTACCTCAGGTCATGGCGACAGCAAGGGTTGTCTGCGTCTGTGTATGTGTGTGTGTGTGTGTGTGTGTGTGCGCGCGCGCGTGTGTGTGCACTTGTGCATTTGTAGTAGTGTACATCCAATGAAGCCCTGCGGAAAGACCAAATGGGCAGGCCGACGACCAATACGATACGAGAAGAACTAGGATCAGCGGGCAGTTTAGGAAGACAGGCCAAAGGCAGTCACGGGCCATCGCAACATTGGCGAAGCTGGCACGCGCGCTATGGTCCGACTTTCTCTCCGTCTTGTTTTGTTATGCCCATGATCCCGGGTACGACAGGGCAGGGCAGGGCAGGACACGACGGGATAGGACACGCTCGCCGGATGTAACCCGTCCGTTTGAGTCCATGTCATCGACAAGACAGAGCCACCAAAAAGAAGATGACGGTCGACTGCGTGGGTACCTCTGGTGAGAGAAAGCTCCCCACTCCCTCAAAAGGCAAGGTGAGACGAGACGAGACAAGACAAGGCCAGGGAAGGGAAGGGCACTGCAAGAAGAATACCTAACTAAGTAGGAGGAAGATGGGACGAACGATGGAAATGACGTGAGCAGGAGCAACAGCTTGCGGGACAGGACAGGACAGGACACGATTCCAAGGGAGCCCTACTAAGGTAAGGTACGTGCGTACACCCCTGCTGGCCCTAGTCTGTCATGTGGGCCGGGAGATTGACAGGCCGACGGCACCGCAGCCCCTGCTCCTGCTCTCTCCAGCTTTATTGCTCGCTGTGCTGTTTATTTTGCGTTGTGTTGTGCTAATGTATGCGGGGTGTGTAAGTCGGAAATTGCAACATGTACGGAAAAGCAGCAACGACATCACACCCCCTTCCCTTTGCCTTGTCCACCGCGACCATCTTCACCTTGGCTCACCCCCCCCGCCTTACCTGAAAGGGAGCTACCCCCCTGACCTGGTCTTCTTTCGAATCTCGGTAGGGGAAAAGGGCAGGAATGGGCCAAAGCTCAGATGAAATCAAGTCCACCTGCCACCGGTGACCGGGGACACGAGAGCGTCCATCTGTTTGTTCAACTTGACGCCCCCCCCCCCCCCCCCCCCCCAGCCCCTACCATGCCACCGCTCCAGGTACCTGGCGTTAGGAGTACAGTGACCCGGTTTTTGGAAGGCCCATCTCGGGGCTAGTCTGGATGACCTTTCCTCCTTGTCCCCCTCCTTCTTACCGTACACCCGCGACCCGGACCCCGTCATTTCTTAGTGCCAGAAAGAGGAGTCCAGAGAGGCAGGATGAACGAGGAGAGATGGATGACAAGACGAACGACGTGCGGCGGGCAACCAACGACTACCCATCACCCCGTCCGTGCGTGCCTTGCCTTGCCGCGTCTCTCTCATCTCAACAGAGAGACTGGGGTCTTTAGTGTAGGAAGGTACCTAACTAAGTCACGCATGCACGAACTCTGCTTTATGCTTGTATTCTAGTGACACCATACGGATACCACGGATACCATACGACACCCTCATCATACCTACTTAGGTATGCATCCGCGCCTGCTTGTCTGACTGACAACGTGCCGCACACTTCAACCCGACGTCAACTGGGCGAAAGCACACGAAAACAATACGCACTCACTCTATTACGTCTAGTCTTGCGCCCGCCCGCCCGCCCGCCCGCCTGCGCGCGTACACGCACGGGCAAGCATACGACTGTCTCCTTTCGTCTCGAGACGTTGCGTTGCCATGCTGCCTACGCAGTTCCGGACACGCCACATGGTCGTTCGTAGAGCCCCGGCTCCTTTGCTGTCAATGACCTTGTATAACTACTCATCTCACCAAGAGAACACCTTGATTTGTGTCAAATGGTCTCATTCCCATGTCGTATTGGCACAGCGTCGCCATGTCGACGTTGGGTTTCGATTTTCCCCCTCCCCGCCATGCAAGCACTGCTTCTTACCCGACTCACATTTTACTGGCACTCGGACTTTGACCAGGGACCCAAGCAAGCTCGGTGAAATGGGGGCGGGGCTGCCTGCAATAGGAAAATGGATGGCCGTGATGCGAGCGGGTTTCCCGATCTGCTTCCTTCGCCAGCTCGGATCTCTGTGCCAATAAGCGGAGCACTTCACAGGTTGCTAAGCCAGCGGGAAAGAGAGGGGGGAGAGGAACAGACGAACAGACGGACAGACAGACGACGATATCTGATGAGCGGCAGCCACGACGGGAATCCTGACCCGTCCGCCTCGCACTGACCATTCCGTGGCCGGCACACACACAAAGGTGCCGCCTAGGGTTTGGATATCTTAGAGAGCTCTACGGATAGGCCTTGCATATACCGAAATGCTAGCATTTAGCAGACGGGGTAAGACAGCCGCAAAGTTTGCCCAACAACCCCGAAATAACCAAACCGTAAGAATAGCAACCGGGATGTTTGTGCCATTGTTTCCCAATGATTTCCCGTCCGAACACATTCTTCACTGACGTCTTCGGCCTGCCAGACCAGCCAGCGTGCCTACGAAGCATGAGCACAAACACCGTCACCTCTGCCCGGTCCCATGCTGCAGTGACACACTACCACGGCTACACACAGACCGAGCAGCCAGGGGCTGTGTCCATCTTCAACGGCTTGGCCAGCGTCCTTCCGCTCATTGCGGATCGTCGGCCGCCACCGGCACACCCTATTCCTCACCCTCTACCCCCCATGTGCTTTGGGGGTCGCAAAGCAAGCATCCTGACAGGTCCATGCCTGTCTGGTCGGCCGGCGGCTATGCACATCGCTTCAATACTGCATAACACCAATCATGGACGTCGGAAAAGATCACAAACCTCCTTCATTGTGCGCAACACTGCACTGTGGTCTGCATCTTCTGCTAATCACCATCATGGTTGAACCACGCCGTCGACCTGCAGAAGGATAGCCCGCGACGCCGCGATACTCCCCCCCTTCCTTCCTTCCATGTTTCTTGCAGTCCCTGCTGTCAAAAAGCAAAGCAAGCCGAACCCCAGCACCGCTCTTCTCTCGCCAGACTGAGCCCAAATCAGCGATGAGAAGCGGATTTGAGCCCGCTACCCGGCTGCTGGCGGTTGGGCGAACAGCGAGGGTGGCACGGTGTGCCGTTGATCCCCGCCCCAAGCATTTCCTGTCTGCCTTGCCCTGCCTCCTTCTCATGGGCCCATGTCCAGATGGCGGAAGGATGAGAACGGCAAGAAAGGGTGCGGGTGTTCGAAAGAAACCCCAGGCTGCGCGGCAATCCTCCGCCCCCATTCGCGAACCTCTCTTCTTGCCTTGCCCAATGTCCCGTACTATATCAGGGGTAGGGTCTGCCCTTGTAGTGTACATGATCGGTCTTTGCGGCCCACGGTTCGAGCGTTTGGCGCTTCGTCCGGTCTCTTGACGCCAGCTCCCCCCCCCCCTGTTGGTTTGACAGCGCGCAAAGACCGCCTCATAGTGGATCCGCGACGCTCAATGCCCTTTTCTGCCTATTCAACTCTTCTCTTTCGAGCCATTGTTCCCCTCTCGCAAAGACAAAGGCCCGTTTTCTTTGCACATCTTGTGGATCAGATTTTCTGTTGGGGCCCCTGCTCGCCGGCTCCGGCTCCCTTGGCCCGCTGACTGGGTCCTTGTAAGACCCGAGACCAACGCGCATGACAATAGGCTGTCCCCAGTTTACCGCAAATTTGGAGCCCACAATCGGTTCTATGCAGTGGTCGGCAAAGGCGCCTGAGCTGAGGGTGTTCATCGTCAGGTCAAAGCAAGAAAGGTGAGGAGGAAACCCCGGCGAGGAAATGGCGCAGGACCGGCTGTGTCTGTCCATCGGTCACGGCTTTGGTTGGTGGTCTGGCCGGCCGGTTTAAGCAACCAGCCCAGCAGTCATTCTACATCACATCTCGTCGAGCCAACGCTCCACGTACCTGGTTGTGGCATCTTATTTCTTCCGTCGAACCCGCACTAGGACTGGCAGTGCCGCACGTCCATGCATGTGCGCATGTTGGGACCAACCACTTCCAAGAGGCGCGCTGTAGCGTCTTCACGCGCCCAGCGCGAGACAACGCGTGAATCAGACAGCGGTCCCTCGATGGCTTGTTGGCGCGGCCTTACAAGCGAGCGCCCATTCGCTTACTGTCATGGCCCTCATCACCACACACTTTGCCCACCCAAGGAACCTGCATGGGCTTTTTGCTTTTCCACTTCGTCAATACAACTACGGTGCTAGCCATGCAGATGCCAGAATCAAATTGCCGCGCCTATTACGGCGATGAATCGCCCTATTTGAGTTGCGGCTGATGTGATGAGACTAGGGTTCACGAGATGGAGAGTGAAAGAGAAGAGGAGTCCAGGAAGATGCATCTCTCGGGCATACCCATGATACCCATGAGCTATGATCCATCCATCTTGCAGATGCTGTATCCCTCCCCAATGTCTAGAAAGGGCCAATGCCCGTCTCTGCCTTTGCACCACTCGCTCCTCACCTGACAGACCACTCCCCTCCCCCCATCTCGGTCCAGAATGGGCCACATCCACTTGGCTGCCTTGCCCGGCTGCCTATCCGCGCCAGGGGAAGGAGCAACAAGGCCTCACAACAAGACCGTACCTTGCTCGCACGTGAAGAGACAACAAAGTAGGGGATGCAAGAGGGCGAATGAAAGAAAGGAAAAAAAAAAAAGAAAAAAAGAAGAAGCAGATACCGACTTGATGCCCGCCCAAAGTGCGGGTGGCGCCGCTGTCGTCTGCGCCGCCAGCTTCCTAGATCCTCCCCCCCCCCCCCCCCCCTTCTTCACTTTCATGCCAAGCGCGCATTCCCCTCCCCACCGTTGTTGCATCTTGGCGTTTTTAGAAAAGAAAAGTCCTCGGGCAAATGCAATTTCCTTGTGACGTGGGCTGGGCCCCTTTGCTCGAGCCCATTTAGCAGAGCCGTTGTCTGACCCGTGGAATTGGGCAACAAGCAGGAGGAGGGCGCCACCCAGCGACACTAGGTATCCGGAGTGATTGATGGCCGAGGTCGCGGTGCCCGAGGCTCGTCTCTCTCCAGCGTCGCGTCCGCCCTTCCTCAGTCTACGGATACATATCTGCATTGCAGGCACCGACTTTATGACTCTGCGCATCGTACGCAGTCGGCATGCAGGGTTTCATCGAGATGGAGATCCAGGGCAAGGCAGCAGCGGCGGCGGCGGCAGGTCCAAGGACCGGGACATCATCAGGCACCAAGGGGTGGGACGGCACCGACTGATGACATGTCGTGGAGGGCATGAGCAGGCAGACAGACGACAGTGGCAGCAGGTATGTCTTCACAAGCGGCAAAAGTCACGACCACGGCCCAGAGTGGCAGCAAAACAGTCTAATCCATTTCAGAGGCGGTCATTCGGATATAGACGATGGGGGGGATCAACTCTCCGTCTCATTGCGAGAAAAATTCCAATCTGTGCTTTGCGTCTTCATCCTCATCTCAAATAAAGGGGGTGCTGGTATGGGTTCCTGTCTCGTTGCCATTTTCCCTTTACACATCAAAACCATATCCGGAGGCCGGACAACACCCGTGACCTCCCCTGCTTCCTCTCCTTCCGGACCGTCCACCCCCTTCGCCTCAATCGCCTTATTGTACAAAAGTCAGCTTTTTACAGAAACCACCGCAAGCTTTTTTTGCTTCTTTTAAGTGAAACTTTTTTTATAGTGATGTTGATTTTTTGTGTGCGTGTGAGGGTATGTTGCTGTCCGCCCTGCTTCCCTAGTGCCGAAGCCTCTAAAGCCATATATTTGCGGCGTGTAGCAATCTTGTCGTGTGCTGTGTTGTCTCTGCGAGCACTTCTATGATGCGTATACCATGGCCTCCACACGAACAAGAAAAGAGTAAAGATGAAATCTCAGTGACAGCCTGCGTCTGTGATGAGATGCGATATTCCAATCAAACAGAACCGGTTAAGCCGTATAATCATTAGTCGGCGTATTAGAGAAAGTGAGAAATAGTGGCGAAACGAGGACGCGCTTGGGTGCATCATCGCGAGTCGACGCACTATTAGTTGCCAGAACCGCCTGGTCCGGGAGTTCGGGGAGACCAGGATGGCGACTGTAGCAGGTTAGACTTTGAATCAAATCAGCGGACACTCGGAAAACTTACTGTTGGCGAGTAGCTGGGGCTGGTCGGCGACTGCTGCGCTCCCGCAGTCTGTTGGAAGCTCGGGCTTGTGGGGGAGTACTGAGCCGGAGAAGTTGGAGACCACGTCGGTGACGCGGGCGAGTACGACGGCGACGTGGGACCAGCCCCGTGGAGGTTAGGGGATGCCGGGCTGTAGTTCGGACTGGCCGGCGAGTAGCTCGGGGAGGTGGGAGAAGCATACTGAGCTGGTGACGTCGGGGAGTAGTGCCTGGGCGAAGAGGGAGATGCCGGCGAGTAGCTTGGCGACGTTGGACTGTAGTTGGGGCTCGCAGGGCTGGTGGGCCGCAGCATAGGCGATGTCGGCGAGAACGACGGCGATGAAGGGCTAAACTGCGGCGAAGTGGCTCCGTAGCGGCCAGCAGCACCGTCCATGAGCGGCGATGTCGGGGAATAACCAGCGTTGGGCGACGAAGGCGAGTACCCGCCGTATCCACTGCTGAAAGGCGATGTTGGTGACGTGCTGAAGGGGCTGGTCGGTCGTCCCGGGCTGGCGCTCGAGTACGGGTTGACAGAGCCGATGCCACCGAAACCACTACCGCCGTACTCAGTGCCGAAGCCAGTTGGAGAATCGGAGCCAGCACCAACAATGGGAGAGAAGTTACCGGCGGCGGGAGAGCTGAGAGACATGTACCCAGAGTCAGCCATGGGTGACCCAGAGTCGTACGGCGTGGCAGCGCCGCCAGCCTCCCCGCCCTTGACTGGCATGCCAGGCATGAGACCCATACGCGAGTTATCGCTAATAACAGTCTCGAGCATTTTGGGATCGAGGAGGACATCGAAGTGACCAGTACCCATGGGTGCCATCTGGCCAAGCATGACGTTCTCGGAGATGCCGCGGCAGTCGTCCAATTCGCCCACAGCTGCAGCCTCGAGGAGAATCTCGACAGTTTCTTCGAAAGAGCAACGCATGAGAGCACCAGTATCGGCACGGTTGATACCGTGACGAGTGACGGCAGAGATGGTACCCCGGTACGTCATGACATCGCAAAGAAGAGCAAGATGTCTGTGGTTGACATAGGAACCGTCAAAGGCAAGCACCTGAGTCAACTCTCGGACCAGAGCCGCTCTAGCCGCCTCGATACCGAAGACTTCAACGACCTGCCACAAGTGGTTGGTGTAGGTACGGTTCGAATCGACACCGTCTACGGCCAAAACCTGGCGAAGAGCGGTTCCGGAAGTGTCCAAATACCACTCTGAGCAACGCTCGTCAGCCTTGGCAGCCAACAGTGCTCCGTCCTCAGTCTCAATAAGCTTGGTCTCCTTGTTCAGGAAAGCTCTTTCAATACCCTTCACGCCACGGAGGGAAAGGGTATCGAGCAGATGGGTCTCTAGTCTCTTGAGCATGACGTCATCTTCGATCTTCTTCTCGCCATCTTCGTCCTTGTTGTCGTTACCGGCATGCATAGGGCGAATGCGAATGATTTGCTCTTCAGCGTTGTTGTCACTGAAAATGACAGCCAAGTCGTTAGGGTACTCCTCCTTGATGCGCCTAGCAACGTCCTCGACGGTAAGCTCCTTGTCGAGAAGCTTCTGGCGGTCCAAGGTAAGACGTAGCAACCATCTGGACTGGTCTTCCGTCTTGTCATGGGACTCGTCGGGAATAAGGTAGTAAGACTCGACCATGTCAAGATCATCAGGGATGTTTGTCGAAGTAATCTCGGGGTCGTAGTAGATTTCAGTGACTGCGGTCACTGAGCGCAACGTTGTGTGCTCAACGGTGCTGCGGAGTGCCTTGGCCGCTTCTTGACTCGCGTTGTCCTCGCCGCTCAAGTAAACAACCATGGAAGGAGTCTTGATATTCTGGGCCAAGTTGAGAATTTCCTTGAGACGAGGGACACCAAGCGTGACGTTCTTAGAAGAAACACCAGCGAAATGGAAAGTGTTCAGCGTCATCTGCGTAGCGGGCTCACCAATGGACTGAGCTGCAATAACGCCCACCATTTCACCAGGGCTGACGAATGCTCGGTCCCAACGGGCCTCCAGTTCTCCCAGGACGTGCTCAAAGGCCATCTTGTTGAGCCGTTGATGGCAGGCAATGCGCTTGAAAGCAAGTCGTGAGCGAATCTGGGCCTTGAAGAGGATCGTGGCACTGTAGTCGGCTTCCTTGGAGATTTCATCGTTGCCGCGGACAATAGTCATCCGTTTGAGCATTGCCTGAACGGCCGGGATAACGTCCTGCGGCCGCAAATCGCTTCTCTGGAAATCCTCGACAGCGAAAAGCTTCTTGGAGGTTTCCATAAGACGAACAAGGTTCAACGGAAGCTGCATTGTTTCATCATCCTTCCTCTTGAAGTTGATCTGGCGAACCTGCTTGCGATCGGCGAGGAGAGCTTCGAATTCCTCGTCCAAGAGCTGTTGAACCGACGGGTCGCCCGCTATTTCATTGCCGTACTCGAGCCACTCGAGCTCTTCGGGTCTGTTCTCGTCCATGATATCAAGCCGGAAACGATCAATGAACTTCTTGTCCGACATGTTGAGGTGATCCATACGTTGCTTCTCGATGTAGATGGCATCCAGGCCATCCTCACCGTACAGGAACTGCAGAATATCTCCGAGAGAGTTTCTGACGGTGCCGTCGTATTTAGCGCTGACGTCCTCGAGTGCCTTGACGAGACGGCGCTGGATGTAACCAGTTTCGGCAGTCTTGACAGCAGTATCGATCAAACCCTCTCTACCAGCCATGGCATGGAAGAAGAATTCACTGGGCGTAAGACCACGAAGGTATGAGTTCTCGACGAAGCCGCGAGCCTCGGGAGAGTAGTCGTCTTTGGTGAAATGTGGGAGAGTGCGATACTTGAAGCCGAAGGGGATACGCTTACCCTCGACAATCTGCTGTCCAACGAGAGCAGTCATCTGGGAAATGTTGATGGACGAACCCTTGGAACCCGACGAGGCCATGGTGACAGCGTTGTTCAAGTCCTTCAAACTCTTCTGGGTGGTGGTACCAGCCTTGTCACGGGCTGTGTTGAGAGCCTTGGAAACCTTGCTCTCGAAGGTCTCACGGATGTTCATACCGGGCAGAGGCTCCAGTTCGTTAGCGGTAGCTTGCCTTGTGTACTCCTCGACCTCGGCCTTGTGCTCGTCAATGTGGACCTGAACCTTCTCAATAGTGACCTTGTCGGGGATCGTATCACCGATACCGATACTGAAACCGTTGTGCAGGAGCCAGTAGTTGACGACTTGCTGAACTCCGTTAAGGAACTTCATAGCCGCCTCAGGACCGTGCTCGTTATAGACGATGTGAACGATACCGCCACTAGCAGCACCAATGTTCTTCTTGGAAAGCAGACCGTACATGATCTGTCCAGACTGAATGAGGAGACCCTCGTCCTTAAGGGGGTTATCCTCCTTCGAATCCGGAGCGCTGTGCAAGCTGACAATGTTGGGAACTGCCAAGCTCATAATCTGTTTGCCCGTCCACCTTGGTCTAGGCCGAACAATGGCGGGCGGAGGAATGATGCCGTCCCAGTTGGGAACCCAGAGCATGATGTTCATGACCTGCTCTTTGGTGAGAAACACATCACGACGGCAGAGCTTGTAGGCGCCGGCAAGAGTATCTTGCACAATACCCATCAGAGGACCGTTTCTCTGAGGAGAAACAATGTTGATGGGGACCAGGCAGAGCTCCCTGACCTCAGCCCTCGTCTCTTCACTTTGGGGGACGTGAAGATTCATCTCGTCGCCGTCAAAATCGGCGTTGTATGGCGAGGTGACGGACAGGTTGAGACGGAAAGTCGAGTAAGGCATGACGCGGACTCTGTGACCCATCATAGACTCCTTGTGAAGAGACGGTTGACGGTTGAAGATGATGTAATCACCAGTAATCAAATGACGCTCGACTTTCCAGCCGTACTCGAGCGAAATTTGACCGGCGCGGCGGTGGTGACGAAGGTCAATTCTCGTACCATCGGTACGGATGACGTACTTGGCACCTGGATGCTCGTTGGGGCCGTTCTGTACAAGCTCGTGGAGTCTTCCAATGTTGTACGGAGTAACCGTCTCTGGATAGGTCAAGGTTCTTGCGATACTTCGGGGTACGCCGACTTCATCGAGAGAAAGGTTGGCGTCACCAGTGATAACAGTACGCGCTGAGAAGTCGACACGCTTTCCCATCAGGTTGCCACGAAGACGGCCCTCCTTTCCTTTAAGACGTGCGCGAATGGCCTTGACGGGACGTCCACTCTTCTGTAGGGCGCGAGGCTGCCCGGCAATGTCGTTATCCATGTAAGTGGCGACGTGGTACTGCAGCAACTGCTCGAAGTCTTGCGCGATATGAGCAGGCGATCCTTCACGAATAGCTTGTTTGACGTTGCTGTTGGCTCGGATGATATCACCAAGCTTGTAGGTCAAGTCATCTTCGTTTCTCAGTCCTTGGCCAGTACCGTCCATGGAAATACTGGGACGCACAGGCGGAGGCGGAACAGGAAGGACAGTGACGATCATCCACTCTGGGCGGGCGTACTCTAGGTTGAGTCCCATGTCTCTCAAATCGTCGTCGCTGATGCGACGCAGAATATTGTGGGCCATCTCCGGAGTGATGGGAGGCTCTTCCTTCTTCTTAACGCCATCTTCGCCTTGGGCTTCGAACTTTGCAATCAGCTGCAAGGCCTTGTGCCGCACCCTAGGCTGAATGTTGCCACAGCCACCGTGGTTAACGGGAGCCTGCTTCATGTTCAGGCCATACTCTCCATCGTCAGGCTTTTGTTCCTTGACCTCGTTTTCGCATCGAGTCTTCTTCTTGCAAATGTTCCAAACGCGGTTGAAGCGAACCTTGGGGTCTCTCGTGTTCACTGCTTGGAGAAATTCAGGGTCGCTCTGAAAAGCCAGGTTAGCACAATCGAGTCAAGGCGGCTGTCAAACATCGTAGAGTAGACTGACTCTATCGGCCAAGACCTTGCTGCAATTATGGCAGACAATCTCCAGAACCTTCTTGACTTTCTTGATGAAGCCAGGATGGTAGACGGGCTTAGCCAGCTCGATGTGGCCGAAATGACCCGGGCATTCACCCATCGCCTGGGAGCAGGTCTTGCACTTGAACTGCCGATCGATGGAACCGAGAAGAGGGTCGTTCAGACCGCCATCACGAGGCTTGGTCCGCGTCTCGTCCATGGTCTCCGGGTAGACACAGTGGCAGACGCTCATGTTCTTGATCTCCTCGGGAGCCATGAGGCCGAACTGAATCTCCTCGACCGTCTTGATCGGCGCACTCGAGTGCGTAAAGTAAAGGTTCGCCATGTTGACGGTGTTTCCGGGTCGTGTGGTGAGGAAAGTGTTGAAGGGTATTCACAAGGTAGGAGATCGAGAAAAAGGGCAACACCCGCCGATAATCGTTACGTGAAGCTGAGACGTCGCAAACAAGGCGCAGAATAATCGGAGAGCAAGAATCTATCGCGCGAAACGCTTTTCGAGATGCAAAATGTCGGGGAAGGTCGTCCTACGATGGCGCTCTTGACTACGCCAGTCCCCGGCCAGCGGCCCAGGAGAAGGTTCCACTGATCCTCCCAATCGCCGCCACCTTCAGAGCGTCGATAAATCTAAAGGCGAAAAAAATCGCGGTCGTACCTAGTCGTATACCGAGACGAAAATGAGTGTGCGGTCCAGGGGCGCGATTTCCGACGCGCTTGGTGATGGGCGATGCGTGGGTTGACGAAGTTGTAGATGTGAAGACCGTGGAGGCGAAAGTGAGGAGCGAGGTCAGAAACAAATCTTGCCTTGGGGCGGCTGGCGCAGCCTGGAAGAATACGCTAGCCGAATTCGGCAATCACCCTCCTTTACCTTCCTCAGACTGGCCACGCGTGCTCCAGGTCGAGGTACCCACAATCCCATGAAACACACCAAAATCAATGCTGATCTCAAGTACCTTTACTGTGTCGTATCCTCGCATACCCGCCCAGGAGGAAGGAGGTACCAAAGGAGGAAATGTCACGGACTGCATCTCAGCTCATGAGTAGGGGGAGACTTCTCCCATGACTTATGCGACAGGGCAAACAATACCACCAACTAGGTAATTACCTGGGCACTGAGGCTCGTTACCTTTGACTACCTATTGCGTTGTGTGTACCAAGTAAAACTCGGAAAAGCACCAAGCAGCTTGGGAAGCACTCGAGTCCTTTAAACTACATACATCACATTCACTGTAATCTCCGTGGGCAGTCGCGCTAAATTCTTGACAGGGCCCCGCACACCAACGAAGCTCGCCCATGGCGAGGCGATCCAACGCCATGTCACGCGTGTTGGGAACTCCCCCAAACCAACCCAAACGAGGCGCAACTGCGAGCTCATTGCAAAAAACAACAAGGGTATTTGGTATTTGGTCTATCGTCTTCTGCCTCCCCTACCTGACCGTCCCTTTCTTGAAGGCATTTTATCCTCTACAACTTCGCTGTCGGGTATCTCTCCGTCCACACCCGGACTTCTTCTCCGCATGGTCCCGGTCGACACAGCAATGAACTCCTCCTCGCTATCGCTCTCCCCGAGATCAAAGAGAATGGGCATGCGAAAATCGCCTGTTCCGCCAGAGTGCCCGTTCACGATAGTCGAGGTAACAACATCAACATCCTCGTCCTCCGCGTCCAACCGCCTCTTCTGCAACTCCTCCTGGCCGTAGATATCGAACTCGTCCTCCATCTCCTCGTACTCCTGGTTCTCCTCGACCTGAGCAAAGTCGGGCGCAAGCCTGGACCATTTCTGTTCGGGTATGACGGACCATATGTATATCCTCCCGGTCTCGAGGCCGCACGTTGCGATGAAAGGTCGCTCAGGATGCCATTCCACAACCCCCTGCTCTTCTTTGGGGCCGTCCAAGATTCTGATGAGCCCTGTGCTGCCGATGCCTCTGTCCCAAACGTATATCTCGTGGTTGTTGTACGTTGACGCGGCAACGTACTCAGAGGCCGAGCTGAACGTAACATGGTTCCATGACAGCCTGTTGACTTGATCTGAAAACTTGTGTTCCTCCGTAAAGTGTACCGTGTCGAGGTCGAGGTCTTCGGCCGCAAGGTTCGGGAGGTGAAATGTTCGGACGATACGATCCTGCGCATTGATCAGAAGCACCCTTCCAGAGTTGTTCAGACGCAACGTTGTAATGACGCCGCTGCAAGGCTTCTCCGAGTATATTGTCTTTCTGGTTTTGACATCGATGACATTAATCCATCCCTTATTTGTCCCCGCCAAGATATGCTCGCCCGTGGAGGTATAAATGGTGGAGGTTGTCATCTGCTTCGCGTCGTCCTTCAGCTGCTTCTCAGTGGGCTCTCCGTCTATGTCGGGTCGTTTCGGCACCGAGCTCAAGGGGTACTTGACATCAGTGACGTCTGATACATCGACAAGAATCGCCTGCTCCTCGAATATTGAGGCGACAAACTGGTGACTTGGCGCGTTAGTGAGGCTTTCGTCGCTTGACACAAGGGACATCCTAGGCTCACTGATTGAATGGGTTGAGCTCCGCGATGTACGCCGGAGCTCGAAAGCGGACTTCACGATACCGCCTGCCGTCCTTTAGATCCCACAAGACGGCCTTCCACCCTTGACACGCCGACAATAGGTAGCGGCCACATCTTGACCAGCTCAGAGACGTGATGCTCCTATGGTGACCCCGCATCTTCCTTGCCACGCCCATGGTTTCAATGTCCCAGATGACCACTGTGCCATCGACTCTACCAGAGGCCAGGAGATCGCCGGATCGGTTGAAGCGCAAGCATGTCGAGTGGCCCGACCGGATCGTATTAGTGTTGTTGATTGCATTGATGGCTTCGACGGCGGCGATGGCCTCATTCTCCTCGTTACTGAGAAGGAAGTTCATGGTCGCTGTTGTTTCCGGACCGGGGGGAAGGCTTTGAGTGGAAGAAAACCTGACCCGCGGATCGGGTGGGCTGGTTGGTTTTGTTTCCGCAGAACAGAACGCAAGCTCATGGTTCGCTGAATGTCAGCCGTGCATGCGGGACAGACTTTCTTGTGTCTGCAAGGCTGAGGTGCTACAGGGGTCGGGCCCGCAGTTTTAGGCGTTCAGGTAACAGCTTCAAGCCGCTGGGCCCACTGGGGCAGTTGACGGCTCTTGGGTTTCCTTCTGGAAGGGGAGTTTGGAGGTTGTTTGGAAGATTACACAGTGTAAATCAGGCCGAATGCACGCATATTTCTTTTCTTACCTCCTACAGTAGGACGCCTAGATAAACCACGTTGACCCAGCCCAGGTGCACAGTTCCACAAACCAGAAAGCCAACGAGCAGGTTGGGTTCAGCACCGGCCACGAGTGCTAACCAAGACACGGGCAGCAAACTACCCCTCCCCCACCATCCCGCCTAATAGGCGAATTCTGTCTGAGAGTCACCCGCATCTGCCTCCCTGCTTTATACTGAGAAAGAAACTAGCCTCATAGTCTTTCATCATGGCCAACTCCAAGTACGATTCTGAACTTCCGTCACGAGCATATATCACTTTCTAATTCTACTACAGATTTGAATACGTCAAGAACTTTGAACAGCCTGACTTCCTGCTACCAAATACTTGGATTGTTGTCCGCATAGACGGGAGAGGTTTCACAAAGTAAATGTGGCTTCCAATTCGGATGCCAACGCGCACTTGACTGACCGCGTTGTAGACTCTGCGCCAAATATGCATTCGAGAAGCCAAACGATAAGAGGGCGCTCGACCTCATGAACGCCGCTGCAAGAGTGGTCGTGACGGAGCTCCCGGACATCACCATTGCGTATGGTGTGAGCGACGAGTACAGCTTCGTGTTCCATAAGTCATGTACGCTGTTCGAGAGACGAGCGAGGTAAGACTCCCTTTTAGGTTGTGCAATCCTCCGGTTCTCGCGACTAACATGGCTCAGTAAACTCGTGAGCACAGTAGTGTCAACGTTTACGGCCAACTACATCCACCTGTGGTCATCATACTTCACCGACACCCCGCTTTCGCCCCCTCTCCCCAGCTTTGACGGCCGGGCGGTATGCTATCCCACGGTAACGAACCTAAGGGACTACATGAGCTGGCGGCAAGTTGATTGTACGTACCCGAGGCTGCGGCCTGCCTTCTCGCTTTCATGCGGGGTCATTAGCTGACAAGCCAAGGCCACATTAACAACCTCTACAACACAACCTTCTGGGCTCTCATCCAGCTAGGTGGTCTTGAAAACAGAGAGGCGGAGAAGCTTCTGGCCGTAAGACCACTTCGCTCCGGGACCCGGTCGGAACCTTACCTCACTTACTCTTTTGCAGGGCACTGTCTCCGGAGATAAGAATGAGATACTCTTCTCAAAGTTCAAGATCAACTACAACAACGAACCGGAAATGTACAAGAAAGGCAGCGTCGTCTTCCGTGATGTTAGTCTCCCCTTACGCCTCCCTTCCATATCCCTCATCTTAGCCCCCACATCCCCTCCCTTCCCTCCCCCGTGGCTCATAGCCAACCCACGAAACCCCCCCTGACCGCGCAGCAGTACGAACTAGTCGAGCCGGGCACGCACAACGCCGCCGAGGCCGCTGACGCGATGGCCGAGCCGGAGGAGCAGAGCAAGACCCAAGCGGAAAAGGACAAGAAGAAGAGGAGCAAGGCCAGGGTCGTCATCGAGCACCTCGATATCATCAAGGACGACTTTTGGGACCGGCGGCCGTGGCTCCTTTCCAATAAGCCTGGAAAGACGCCCAAGGAACCTTGAGCTAAAGCCGTCACGATGTGTGGTCCAGGGCTGCCGCATGAATGAAGATCCGGTCTGTTCGAATGTCGAAGGGCTCACAACTTAGTTAGGTATGCTGCGCAGGGCCCGAGGGGAGACACCGCCGCATCGGGGGCCACTTAAGATGGAGATGTTGGGCCCATCCAGGTTGAAACTGCCGCATGGCGTAAACGTGTCTGTTGTTATGGCTAGCAGGCCTGAAGCCGACGCCATGCCCTGAGCGTTTATCTATACCTCGCTCGGCTCTAAACCGCTTGTTCCCAAGAGCCGCTAATATGGCGCCTTCGCCAATGCTTTAAAAGTCCTTGCGCCGTAGAAAAAGTCTACTGCCAATGATGCTCTGCCGCCCTCGCGCGTGATATCAAAACCCTTGAGGGCTTGAATGCACGACCCTTTTCTTATTGCCATGGGATGATGGTGAAAGGTCGGCACGATATCGGCCCACCTCAGATCCAAGCCGGGTGGGTATCTGCAACCGGCCAATATGTCGAAAGATCAAGACGCTATCTCTCATCCAGAACCACCCTTCTTCGCTTTCCTCGCTTCCCTCTTGGCCTTCTTCGCCTGCCTTCTCGCCCTCCTCTCCTCCTTGGACTCTTTGCGGTCCCGGTCCCCCGAAGAAACCTTCGATACCTTCTTTGCACCTCTAGCTTGCCTCCTCGCCTCCCTGGCCGCTTTCCTTGCCCTCTTCGCGGCTCTCCTTGCCCTTCTATCCTCCTTCGTCTCACCCCTATCTTTCTTCTCCTTCTTCCTCTTCGGACTTGCTTCCGCCTCGCTTTCCAAGCTTGTCGTGGTATCCTCGCTTTCGGGTGTAGAGGCGCCGCTATGCTCCTCCACAGCCTTTCTCTCGTGCTCTTGAATCGTCCCCTCCAGGAACCCGCCTCGTACAAAACTCGCGTACAGCATCCACTTCCCGCCGGAAACCTTTTCGATCTGGTTCAACCGGCCCTGCGTTACTGTTTGCGTCACCTGGCCTTTCTTTGAGGTGTCCAAGCCCTGAAGCTGCTCGTCGAACGCATTCATCCACCACGTGTCGCTAGTGAAGTGTGCCTTGGTGCCTAGGCCTTTTGTGTTGTCTTTGCGGTTCAGTAGGAGCGGCTTCGCAAGCCCGATAGAGTCGTCCGTGGCATGAAGTGAGTGGCCTTTGCCGCGCCATCCTTGCGCCGAGAGGAGGGCATGCGCGTCCATCTTGGGAGGGTTGTTGCGTCAAGGCTCGTTTCGATCGACTTTTTGTTTCGGTGTCTTCGTGGATGAATAGCAATTTTCGAAGTCTATGAAGCGATGGTCGGTCGGCTCTGAAATGTCATGAGCGCGTGCATAGAAGTGTCATGGTCGAAGACCGTTTTGGTTCCTCTTGTTGGTTGACCGGCGGGAGGGAGGATTGTTTGCGACAGGGTCCCTGAGCAAAAAGTTGTCGGTGGACTGGATTTTTCTTTTGCGCTTATCTTATCTTAGCTCAGTCACTCACCCCACCAATGCTGAAAGTGAGGACCAGATACAATCAGATTACTCCGCGGCTAAGCGGATTGATTTGTACAGTGTCTCAGTGGGAACTCGAATCACGGAAGACATAGCTAGCTACGTCTTGTCTGAGTCATCTTGTTACCATTGCTTAATATAAGCGCATCCATCCTCACAACCCAGCACGGAAAGAAAACAGACCTTAACTATGCCCTGGAGGACATATATAAATAACTAACGTCAAATCAAGTTTGAACGTTTCTTCGTTGATGAGATATCTGTACTAAACACTTTTGTAGCTCTTCGCTCTATGGTTGTACAAGCAGCTGCCCCGATTTTTTTGGTGTCCCAATACGCATCCTGAAAACATTATTTACGCCTTGACCTTCTTAGCAGCGGGCTCCTCAGCGGCTTGGTCCAAAGCACGCTTCTCTGGCTCGCTAGCAAGTTCCCTCTCCGCCTTCTCAAATTTGGCCTGCTCCTCGGCAGTCATGTTCGGCAGCAGCGGCTTCTCTTCACCCTCCGTGATATTCAAGTGGAAGGTACGAATAATCGAGTCTGCATCGTCGATGGCAATCGGCCTGACGTCTGCTAGGGCCTTGATCTTCTGAGTGACGACTTTGATCTGAGCGTCGGTCATGGTCAAGCCAAGCTGCTCAACACGGCTCTTGATAGCGTTCCATCCCGTCAACCTTGAGGCGAAGTGGACGTATCTGCTCATGCCGAAGTCGGCAGGGTTGATGATCTCTGTAAGCCGCATTAGATTACCCTCTTTGACAACACAGCGTTCAGTATTGAAGCGACGTACCATATGTGCTAGGGTTGTTAAGGATGGCCTTGGCGTGGATACCGGCCTTGTGAGTGAAGGCGCAGAAACCAGTGATGTAGTTGTTGAAGGGAATGTTGATCTCAACAGCCTCGGCAACGAGGTCTTCCAACTCCTTGAGCTTGTGCAACTTGTACTTCGACTTGGTGTACTCAGGGGCGGCGACGATCATACGAGCCATGAGACCTCCAAGGGGGGTGATACCGTTACGCTCACCAATGCCAATGACAGAGGTGTCGACTGGGAACACGCCGTTAGCAACCAGGTTCGCAGATTACTCAGTAGATAACTCACTATGGGTAGCACCGGCCTCGAGAGCGCAGTAGGCGTTGGCAATGGCGCATCCGGTATCGTTGTGGAACTATGTCATGTTTTAGCAGAGTTCCTCGTCGTCCGAATGTAGACGCGACTTACATGAGTCTCGATGTCGCAGCTGACGACGCCTCTCAGGGTGCGGACAAGGTCGTAGACCTGTCTGGGGCTGGCGCAGCCGACGGTGTCGGCAATACCGACTCTATGCACACCAACCTTGTCGACGGCGCTGTAAACGGAAAGCAGATCGACGAGGTCGGAACGGAAGGAGTCTTCGGATGAAAAGCGGATCTCGAGACCCTTGGACTTGACGAACTTGATGACCTCAATGGCGGTGTTGATGATGTATGTCATGTCCTTGCCGTGGGAGTGTTCACGGAGGTAGGAGGAGGTGCCAATAACGACATCGACGCCGTCAACACCGGTCTCAACAGCAAGGCGTGCATCATCCATCTGCCCCAGTTAGTGTTCGCCCATTCTAGCGCGTTCGAGAGGCTTCGTACGTGGCAGCGGACGTGCGTGAGAATCTTGGCCTTGAGACCGAGCTTGCAGATGGCCTCACAGTCCCTACGGGACTGCTCAGAGGCAGCAGGTGAGGTGAGCTCGATGTAGTCAACACCGAAGTCGTCGAGGGCCTTGGCGATCTTAATCTTGGTCTCGGTGTCGAAGAAGGCGTTGGCAAACTGCTCGCCCTCTCTCAGAGTCGACTCAACTGCATGTCACACGTCAATAGGTGACTCAGAAAAGCTGGATGGCTGTACATACTGATCTTGTATCGGTCGACATTGCTCAGGAAATCGCCAACCGGCTGGTAGGGGTTGCTGTGCTTCTGCTTGGTCTATGCCGTCGGGTGTCAGAAAAATTCGTCACCGTCGAAGCGGTTTTCGGAGGTAATTGGTCCTTACGGGAATAGCAGTGTAACCTGGGTGATCTGGATGCCAAAGAGTCAGTCTCGTCAACACCAGAATCGCACACAAGCTTGCGGTACGCACTAGCCTTGTCTCCATTGGCAGCGCCATTGGAGCCGTTTGCGTGGCCATTGGAGGCCGGTACGTCAGAAGTAGGGCACATTTTATATGATCATGTACGGTATGCTGTGTAGGCGAGTTTGTTCTTTGCAGAGTGCGTATCCAAACGTTGGTTGGCACCAAAAGTTTATAACTGAATTTCGGAAGGCCTGTTGAGTCACAAAATCAAAAAGGTGACTCAAAGGCTGGAAGATCGACCTAGATATACAAGGAAAGACGGGAAAGTAAAAAAGAGAAAAAAATAGCACGCCGGGCGAGGCGAGGCGAGGCGGTACGCAACAAGGTGTGGATTGGGCGGGATGGCCAGTGATGGCCGAGGGCGGCGTTTGCTGCTCCCAAGAGCAACAACCAGTCGCTGTGCGAAGAAAAGAATTTTTCCCACTCTTTGGCCCCGCTCAAGGCACATCCCTGGCCACGCTGCGCAGCGTGTGCCATTGACTACCGGTACCTATTTCCAGGGCCAGTGTCATTTCTGTACCTCTGTACCCCGCTCGATGCCACCTGAAGTGGGCTGCGTTAGACAGCCATTATTGGCTAGATACGTCTCCATGTGTTGCACCGGCCAATCAGTCCCCCGTTATTGGAAGATCGATCCTCGTACATCAAATGCTAGACTATATGCGGCAATTCCACATGCTGCCGCTTGCCCAGATTTTGGACCGTGCACGCTGCCGTATCGGCCCATCTTGATTCCTGCCGCTTGCTGATGGTCTTGCAGCAATGCAAGCCCTTATTGAAAGACACCGCCTTTCGCCCATCTCATGATGTCTGTCCGGTCAGCCTCTGTCGACAAGGTCCCTGGAAACACAGTGTTAATCAGATAGCGAAGCGTCCCTGGCGTCCTGCAGCAACGGACCGCGTGTTTGCACTGTTATGTTGTACTTGTATCCTGTTGCCTGAAGCCTCAGCCTAATGAGAAATGTTACATTGATTTATCCCGCAGACGGAAACTTGCGAAGAAGTTCGGTAGAGTTGAGCCGGTACCCTGGCTCTGCTGGCCATCTCAGACGGCCTCCGAGCAGACAGAGTAGTTGAAGGTGTGAAGGCCAACATCTCCCAGCCTAGCTGATACTAGTGGTGAGACTCACCGCGCTTCATTCGGACCCCAGCCCAGAAAAGAAAATCCGACAGGCGTACCTAGCTGCATTAGCAACGCCCTTTTCAACGCATTTATTTGTCCTCCGGTTGCTGGGGTAGACGCTGCTCCATTCCCAGAGGGTCCACAGCTCAATGATGGATCCCCAGACGACGTCATGCAAGCACGGATGGCCAACGCTAACCCGCGTCTTTTTCACATCGCTAAGAGACCAGAAAGAAGAAGTCGCCTATCAAATGATGAATGCTAAAGTTATCGCGTGCCTTTGAAGCCTATTTGCGACACAAAGAGACAATCCCCAATGTATTCCAATCACCAGGCGGCTTGTAACCCTATGTATGCTGTTAAGTGGTAGCACTTCTTTAGTGAATATCATAACCACATCACTGGCAATATAACAAGCCATGATGTCCGCTTCTCAACCACTCCCCCACACACAAGAAGGCTGTTACCGCATTGCCGATAAAAATGGTGACTTCTTATGATGGTTCATATCTTTTCTATATACTCGTCGGTTGACTCAACGACATGAATCGTGCGGCATAACCTACCGGCCTCAACGCCATCTCATGCACAGATGCAAAATTATATACCTAGATAGGACCCTGATGGCGCACGGAGCCTAAATGGACATATAGACGAGAACTTAATTATGACTGACGACTCCTTTGTGTCTTCGCCACATCCTCCCGCCCAGGTGATATCACGATGTTTGCAAGCCGGTGTAAAGACCTGCGGTATGCGCACTGCAAACGCATCGAAATCCCTCTCAGCCACTGTGTTTGCAATCATCATTCGACTCATTGTCTTCAGATTCCTTGAGCTGGGTTGTCAAGCCAAAAACTACCCGACCGAACGGCTCAAAGCCGATGAGAGGCCCAACATTCAGCAGCATAGCACCCGTCTAACCCTAGTCCTGTCTCTCTGCCGCATTGTATATTCCATGAGAACTGTTATCCTCGGCACTCTTGTCATGCTGCTGAAAAGGGCTTTTGAGTTCACAGTGAAGACGACTCTGTGGTTGCATGCGCTGGCCGGACTGAGACCTGCAATGCCTGCCCATTTGCTCGAGCTGAATCGGTTCGCGCGGCTGCTCGCCAAGGAGCGCCATGTTGCTCATACCGGCTACATGTGGCTGCAAATCTTCACACCCATGCTGTTGCAAACGGTAATGCTGCGGTGCCGCTAGGAAGCCAGACCGCACGCCTGTGTCTGATCCGCTCTGCTCCATAGGTCGAACCTGTTGTTGAGCAGCTTTAACCCGCAATCGAGTCTCGGCAGTCATAAGAATATCTCGAACGAGCAGTGAGGCCGTGTTGTGTAGGTTCATCTGCTCGTACCCTGGAAACTGGAAATCATTGAAAAGCACGACTTGAGGTGGCGGGCTGAACTGAGGCAAGTTGTTTCTCTGTCGAACTTGCAGATGTTCTGGATGAGAATGCAGGCGATGTCTCGGTTGAGTCAAGGGTTCCCGGTAGTCAGCCGACGGAAAGTCGACCGAGGAAGCCTGATATTCTTTGGAAAGCCCCGTCACCGCAGTTGGCTGATTGGAAGCGATTAATAACTTCTCGTCGATATAGACTGGAGGGACCAGGGGTGGGTCGATTGGCGGGTAGATAGTTAAGATCCCCTCATTGGTGAAATACATATGCGACTGGCTAAATGGGTGCCTCGGCCGTGACTGGAGTGCTCTTCTGAATTCAGCTTGGTCCCAAACATCTTGCAAGGTCGCTGGAGGATCACCTACAGCCAAGGCGGACGTATCACCGTTGACCTGATTGTCCCCCCAGCGCGCTTCATCGACGACTTGAGCGCCTGACCAACCCTCATCAGCTTCACTGATATTTGGCAAGTTGTGAAATGTGACAGCCTGATTAGCAGTGGCCAAAGGCTCCTAGTTCTTAGCCACGTGAGCAAGCACCGTCATCTGCTCCAGCTCGAAATCTGCACCGCTGGGCAACTTTTGACCCTTAGGCAGAGCGGCCGCAACTGATACTTCAATGTTGTTGACAGCTCCAGCCTGAAGCTGAGCCTCAAAGATTCTAGCGCCGAGGGGCAGCACCTGTCCGGGAACAGGATGAGCCTGATAAGCAATCTGACGGTTGACCAACACGAACAGTTTCCACTGGCGTCCCTCTTTCTCCAAGGACGATGGAACGACCAGAACGATCTGGACTCTCGACTGGCCGGGCGGCATGTGGACCGTCACGGACTGTTGTGTCTCTTTTTCCAGAGGCAAAAGAGTTATCTCGAAACGGCGCTCGGCATTGACCATTGGGTGCGTCTGGATTTTGAGGCTGGTGATAAGTGCATCTGCAGCTCCTGTGGGTCACGTCAGCTACGTCGCGGGCTGTGCTTCATATGGAACGTACCTTTACCCGGGGCACGTCTTGCCTGGTCCCATAGAGGCTTCGATTGATGCTGTATACCGTTCGTCTGCGGCTGAGGCTGCGCAACACCGATAGGCTGAAAGGTCGCGCTGGACAGGCTCGCAGCCTGACCACCAGCAGGTGGCGGAAAGGCAGAAGGCGTGCCAGCGTGACCGGGTGTCCCTGCCGGGGAAGGACGGGCGGCGTCCTCTCGCTTGATGTTGTTGACCACGGAGGGACTTGGGGAAGCGACGGAGACGCTGCGAAGTCTGTCCATCCCAGCCGGAATAGCTGGAAGCCCACCCTGGCGCGTGGCACCATTGGCGATCGGTGTCTGGTCGCCGATATATGATCCAGCCGAATGGGAAGCTGGAGGCGCAGGAGACTCTCCCGAGTCGCTCTTGCCACCGACGTGAATCGTAATCTTCTTGGAGGTCGTAGGTTGCTCGGATGCCGGTTGCTGGACCTTGAGCTTGATCTTTGGCTGTGCAGGCTCTTGAACGACCGCCTTGGCCTTCTTCAACTCATCTTTGAAGAACTCCTGTCCAACGATCAGCGCCTGAAACAAGTAAACCGCTGTTGTCAAATCAACACATACCTCGAGCTCCTGGGCCAACTCGTAAATCTCACTTCCCTCCTCATTGTAAAAGAAGGCGTTCTTCCAGAGCAAGCTAGCAGTCTCCTCGAAAGCGGCCCAGTTCTTGAATTCGCTGGTGCCCGTTGCCTCGTTGCGACCCCTGACACCTTTTACAGTCTTCTGAAGTTTCTTGAGAGAGATTGGCTCTTTCACAATCCTGTAGTAGTCTTTCAGAACACGAGGGGGAAGGTTAACAAAAGGCTCAAAGTAAGGCTCTTGACCACTAGATGCAACGTCAGCGAAGCCCATGGCGATGAAACGGTGATCACATACCCATCGTCTTTCTTGCGCAGCATCTCTTCCACAATCTTCTCCTGGGCAGCCTGGAAAGTGAGACCCTTGTAGGGGACGTCCTCGTACTCGCAATCCGGGCGGCTGGGCGTGACATTTCGTGTATTTGCCTTGCGCGGCGTCGCGCCCTTGGCCGGCCTACCCGGACCTCTACGGCGGATGAGAATAGTCGCGGGCTTAGAGGTCTGGCTACCTTCGTCATCGTCTTCTTCGCCCTCGGCGTCATCTTCCTCGTCGTCCTCTTCGTCGTCCTCATCTGCATCCTCATCTCCATCAGGATCGTCCTGTTCAGATGACTTGATGGCAACTTGAGACTTGCGCCGGCTACTTGCAGGCTGGGGAGCGTGATTCTCATCGTCATCTGCGTCATTGACAGCGTCCTCTGCAGGCAGGGGGGTTGGGACGGCCGTATATCCACCTCTCGCGTATGCAGGGTTGTATTTGGTCATGAAGTTACTCAAAGCTTTCCGGACTCTCTCTGCATCTTCGAAGAGCTGACTCCCGCGAGGGTAGAACTCCTTAGCATTTGACACCATGCGCTTGCAGTAGCTTTCGAGTTCTGTAAGGGTTGGGAAATCGCCGTTGTCGAGCTTCTTCTCGATCATAGTTAGGGAGATGGGCATTTTCGTCTTCCTGTAGTAATCGGGATTACTATCCCTATCGGGCAGCGTCTCGAAATAGCCGGATACTTTGCGTCCACTAGAGCGAATTTGAAGTTTAGCAATCTGCTTTGAACCCATTGGGAGGATGACCGTAAGAGGTTGCTCACTTCTTGTCCGCAGTCCGGCGGATCTGATCGAGGAAGAAATGGCCATAATCGGTGGTAGACTCGACAGTCTCGTGCTCCTTAAGATTGTACTTCTGTGAGGTGGTAGATTCGTCAGCTTGACTCCGTGGAAGCAACGCAGAGTATACTCTGCGTAGGCATGAGGACATGAATGATGAGGAATGAGAGAGAAGGTGCTATCTAAACAATATTCCACTTGGCAAAAGGAAAGTAGAGGTGTGATAATGGGAGGGGGAGCTCCATGGCTGGCAAAGGCCATGCACAGTTGCGAGCCAGGACGCGTAGTATGAATGAATCAAGACTTCCGTCGACAGGGCAAGAAGTGCGTGGTTGAGGGCAAACCGACAAAGACTTACTGCAGCGAGCTTCTGCTTCTTTGCATTTGGCTCTTGGGCATCCGTCACGCCATTCATGGCTGACGATCTGCGCTTGTTATCCATGGAAAACTTGGGGAGAATTGTTGCAGGCGCATGCGCAGTTGATTAAATGAGTAACAAAGGGCTACTGAGAACGATTGCGCGTGCAATGGCTGGTGGCAGTATGCGACTCTGGGCGGAAATGCGATGGCGATGCTGCAATTGCGACGGGTTTGCGAAGACGCGTCGGTTTGGAGATGGGGTCGGGAGGATTGGTTGGCGCGGCGCAAGGTTGTTTGCAACAGGGCTGCAAGCTGAAGCGGCTAGCGCGCAAGGAGCTAAGGTAGGGCCCCGGGGAGTATTGCAGCTCTCCCCACGTTTCTTGAACCAGGATGGGGGTAGCTTTGGAATCTACAAAAAGCCCAGGCGTTGGTTGTGGGAAAATTTGGGCGCGCGGGTTATTGTTGCACGATGGTGGTGTCTTTTTTTCGGATGCTAGCAGTAAGAGGGGATTTTTTTCAACGGGGATGGGCGAAAGATGCGCTGGATTTTGGGGGATGGTTGTGGGTTAGGCTGGCTATTGCACCGACTGACGAGTCGGAGTGGAAAGGTCCGGGTTGGTTGGATACTTAGGAAGGAAGGGACGAAGGAGGGTGCGTACATACCGAGGCATTTGAGTGCCTCAGGTCCATACTCTTTTGGTGAGGCAACAACCAACTTCTGATGCCAGCTGTCAGACAGTCTTTCAAGCTGGTACCAGATGGCGTATGTGATGCCGCCTTAAGGGTAGGTAAATTGAGGTGGCAGGGATGTGGGGGGGAGATAATAAAACTTTGGCAGAAAAGTTCCACCGCTCTCGGTGTGTTTTTCGTGTGGGTTAATGCACTGAGGGCTGCCTCTGAATTGCGGTGCAATGCAGCGCATGTACGGATGCTACGTACAGCAGAAGGCAAGCAAAGGCGGAATTTGCCGGCAAAACGCCTCGGACTCTAGGGGCCAGAATATGATGGCAGCGCTGGGGCGGGACCGAATTACTGACTGAGATCCTACTTTGTCTACTACCGCTCCATACCGACCTATCTTTTCCCACCCTTTGAATAACAACCCCTCGCTCTTGCATGCCAGCTTCCCTTGGACATCTTGTTCCCTAGCATCAAAGCTCCTTCGCGACTTTATCCCCCACCGAATCAGGGTGCAGCTGAGCCTGTTATTTCAGCGCCAATTCCTGCCTACCCCGCCTGCCTCGTTGTTTACCTTTTTTCTTTCTTATTCTTTTGCCTCCTTCGACTGGGTGTGGTCGCCTGACCTCCCAGAAAACTGGACCCTTCGCGCCTTCATACTCATTCCGCATCAGAGAATATATCGCCAGCTCCCGACAGTTTCGTCCATCGCTCGACCTCTCTGCCCTAATTGAGCCACCTGCCGGTTGCCTTTGCGGTAAGGAACCGAGACTCGACGCCGCCATCCATCCCACAGTCCCCAAGGCATATAAGACAAACCCACAGAACGGCTTCCGCCATGGATATCGACATGAGCCGTCGCAACAAGGTCCCGCGGCCTTTGTCCGACTCGGAACGAGCCCGGTTGGACGAGTTCATTGACTCTATTCACTACTCGGCGCGGTATGCCTGTCCACTGCTCCCGCGTCAACGCAGCCCAAGGGGGGAGCAAACACTGGGCTAACTTGTTTGCCTCGTCCAGATACTCTGACAGCGAGTACGAGTACCGTCACGTACAACTGCCCAAGGCCATGCTTAAAGCCATCCCAAAAGACTACCACGATTCTTCCCACGGAACCTTGAAGCTGCTATGGGAAGAGGAATGGCGAGCACTCGGTATCACTCAGGTACGGTATTGTTGCGGCCCCTAGGTCATCGGAGGCGCTAACGTCGCACCCAGAGCTTGGGTTGGGAACACTACGAGGTGCATGAGCCGGAGCCGCACATCCTACTGTTTAAGTCAGTCTACCCCCTGCAACAAATTCACGGTTGCCCATTGCTAATAGCAAAACGCAATAGGCGCCCTCTCAACTACCAGCCTCCCCAGTGATCCGCACTGCGAAGAGAAAAGCCTCGTTATCCTGCAAACGCAGTACACATCCCCGCTCACCGCTCAGCAGGCTGCTGCCTGGGCGATACTCTCGACGACACGAATGACGGCCAATGATGATGGATATTTTCTCTTTACAAAAGCAGGAGAAGAGGCCGAGAGAGGACAATACCTCGTCTTTGCAGACCGCAGCAGATGGGATAAAGACGGCGCATACCACCAAGGTTGTTGCATTCATTTGGGCGGTTTGAGTCATCGGGGATCTGCTAGTGTTGGACTGTTTGCTGTCTGTTATATATATCTTGAAAGTTGAGGGGCCTTGGTGGGGTCTATCATACAGCGCCGACGGCTATCTTCTATGCCACGCCGCCGACGCTGATGATGAGCCTCGACAACTACGAGGCCGGGACAGGCTGTCGATGAGCGCACGCTACCCTTGGGGTGGTAGAAAAAAGAAGGGACAGCGTGTCGGTTGTGTAGATAGTCGCTGTTGGCTAGTACCTGCATAGCTTGACAGACGACAGTAATGGTCAGAGGTTAGGAATCAGGGGATAGAAACATGAAACTAATGTCGTGCTACCAGAGTCACAAATACTCGCAAGGTGACCTTTAAAAAAGCCAGAACTCATCTCTACAGGCATGTCATGTCGTGTGTTCCCCCATGACGTGAGACACAACAATAGGGATGCTCAGGCACGCGAAAATGCTCGGGCACAACTCACATCAATCTCGGGTATTGATGCATCAAAATGATGGCACGTGGAAGTTATTGTCATCTCTTCACTGCAGCTGTTGGTCCGAGCAGTAAACAAATCGCATGGCAGCGGCAACGCGAGACGTCATTTTGCTAGCAAAGTCGCGGTCCGATGAACGGACACGATTTTAGTCTCTTTTCTGTCAGTGGTTTGGCGTCCGGTGTAAAGACATGTGCAAAACGACAGGGAATACAGGGAACAGGCGTAGATTAGGCGTATGACAGAGGCCCCGAGGTCTGCAATGGGCAAGTCGGCGGGATGCACCAAACCGGAACGAGCTGGATGGCGGCGGCGGCATCCCAGAGGCGATCTGGAACGGCCAGAACTTATTTTGGCGTCAGTGTGGTTCCAATTGGCTCGTGCATCTGCTGATTTTCCACCAAAAGAAGGACACCTTTCATCAAAACGCCCTCGCCCTGTGTGTCCTTTTATTAGCTGCTCGCCCCTCACATAGGTAAGGCAGCACTGCTGTATGGGGCTCAGCTTACATGGGAGACGAATGTACACTCTCGCTGTGCCTGGACGTGCCAGGGTACATCTGATGTGTCGATCAGCCAATTCTCGCCAGATAAAGTAGCATGATATTCGGAAGGTCAGTCCCTCAGCTGCATATTAATCAGCCAGCCCGGGGGGTTCCGTTGATGCTTCCACATTTATCTGTTCCGCTTAGTATTGAATACGGGGTGTTGAGGACAGATTCTCATGCCACTTTGGGAGCTTCCATGGAGCAAGGAAACGTCCAAAGGGGCGGGCCATCGATCCCCCCTCTTTAAACAAGCTGTCACTCTCTCCTCTGTTCCGTCATTTCTCTGCTCTGCTTACCTCACCTTCCCAGTTTTACGGATACCAGACCGTGGGATATATATCTGTGACGAGTGGTCCTAGGGCGACTGACGCCGCCCACTTTCATCAACTGGCAGCTCGAGTGTAAGACCTGAGACGAGGAGACTGCGCCTTCAAATTAACCTCCAACGTCTCCCTCCCCCGGCCGTTTCTCCGAAACGAACATCGCCGAACCTTACCACACCCTGCGTGAACATTCGACGCAGCAATTAATTACACGCAGTTTTCTTAAAAAAGGCTCGGATCCGCGCTGCAGAGCCCGGACACTCGGGGCGTTTCAGCCGAGCATTTCAGAAACTTGTCAACTTCACCTGTCCTCCGCGTCAGAGCTGGCAAGCCTGTCTTTGCGACAATCTGTCCTTCCTATTCTGCCGCATATTAAAATCAACTGTCGGCCTACACTCCGCCAAGGAGCCTTTCCTCGCCTATCATGAAGTCTGCAAGCAGACTATTTTTCCTCTCAGTATTTGCGCTCTGGGGCTCTCCAGTCCAATGCAAGAGCGCCCAAGATGATTGTGCGGTATGCCGCCGTTTCCGTTCTCTTTCTCTCCTCTCCTTCAGGAACCTGCGCTGCGGTATCCGAATGCCGGACCTCCTTATCTAACTCGCCATACCAGATCTCCCCCAAGGCTATCGTGTCCGACGCATGCGCCTCTTACTCGACCCTCGACAAGCTGAACACAAAGGTCAAGCCCCTCGTCGATGATCTCACAAGATCGACAGACTTCTTCTCACACTACCGACTGAATCTTTTCCACAAGAGATGCCCCTTCTGGAACGACGAAAATGGCATGTGCGGCAACATTGCCTGCGCTGTCGAGACACTTGACAACGAGGAGGACATTCCCGAGGTGTGGAGGGCAAGCGAGTTGGGAAAGCTGGAGGGCCCGCTGGCGAAACATCCCCCGAGGAGGGTGCAGCACGAGCGTCCCGAGCGCCCCCTACAGGGAAAGCTGGGCGAGGGGGTCGGCGAGAGCTGCGTGGTGGAATACGATGACGAATGCGACGAGCGAGACTATTGCGTGCCCGAAGACGAGAGCGCGAGCTCTAAGGGAGACTACGTGAGCCTTCTCCGTAATCCCGAGCGCTTTACCGGGTACGGTGGCTTCGGCGCCGCCCAGGTTTGGGACGCCATTTACCGCGAGAACTGCTTCCAGAAGAGCTCCTTCCCACACTCAGCATCCCTGGGGCAGTCACAGGCCACTCACAATGGCCCCGCTGCTCAGGACTTACGTCAGGTTCTCGAGGCGGTCGGGCGACAGCAGGCACTCGAGCAGATGCGTGAGACACAGCCCAACGCCCCGTTCGTGGCCCAGACTGGTCTCGAGGTCGAGGACGAGTGCCTCGAGAAGCGCGTCTTCTATCGCGTCATCTCGGGCATGCACGCGAGTATCAGCACCCACCTCTGCTGGGACTTCCTTAACCAGACCACTGGCCAGTGGCAGCCCAACGTGGCCTGCTACCGGGCCCGACTGCACACTCATCCGGAGCGCATCAGCAACCTGTACTTCAATTACGCCCTCGTCACCCGCGCTGTCGTCAAGCTGGGACCCTACCTCCAGGGCCGTGACTACACCTTCTGTTCGGGCGACATGGACCAGGATGCCGCGACGCGGGCCAAAGTCCTCGAGGTGACGGAGGCTGCAGCCAGCGTGCCTCAAATCTTTGACGAGAGTCTCATGTTCAAGAACGGGGAGGGCCCGTCCCTCAAGGAGGACTTTCGCAACCGCTTCCGTAACGTCAGCCGCGTCATGGACTGTGTTGGCTGTGACAAGTGCCGCCTCTGGGGAAAGCTGCAGACAGCCGGCTATGGCACTGCGCTCAAGGTCCTCTTCGAGTTCGATAACGCTAGTGAGGACATCCCCGTGCTAAAGCGCACCGAGCTCGTTGCCCTCTTCAACACCTACGCCCGTATCAGCAGCTCCATCGATGCCATCAACAAGTTTCGCGCCATGGTCGACTCTGAGGAAGCCCTCGCCGCTGCGTCTGCCGCTGCTCCCGAATTTCCCGAATTCACCCCTGAAGACATCCCCGACCGGGCGAAGAAGCCGCACCACGTGGTAACGTCGCCCAAGATAGAGCCCGAGAAGAAGGAGGAGAACCCGCAAGACGAGTACGGCGAGGAAGCGCCGAGACACGAAGAAACCTTTATGGAAGAGCTTGATATAGAAATCAGGCGCGTAATCAAGGCCTTCAAGTTCGTCATCGGCCGCTGGCTCGCATTCCCCAAGACCTTGTAAGTTTCGTCATTCAACTTGTCCCCGTCGTGCAGCTTGTAGGGTTAACACGCCATGACAGCGTCAACGTAGTCGTTGTCGAGCTTGTCCGGTTTTACCAGTTCTTCGTCGGCCTGCCCTTGATTGAGCGGAACTGGAGCTTCGACCGACCCAACCTGGATGAACTCTGAACTCGTTCAACAACCCATCGTCGCTTAGCTTTGGCTATCATACAGTAGCATTGCATGGCGGCTGGGAGGGGGGGTGTAGACGTCGTTTCTTGGTTTTTGCTGTTGTTTGTAGCACATGTTAACCGGCATCATGACTATGCCGTACGAATACATATTCAATGATACCAGTGCCCAGTTAATGGCCCGAGCGTCCTCTCATTATGATTACAACTGTCTCCTTTGCCTAATGCTGCACAGATCAGCAGTCCGTGGGGGATTAAATTAGTGTAGTACTATGGCAAGCCCCTACTCGTATAACCCATCCTCAATGGTGCTCTTCTTCCCACCCTTTGACGGCGCTTTCAAGGGCACGTTTGTGACAACGTTCCCAATCTTGACTTTGACTCCCGCCACCTCGATTCTCCACTGCCGAATGCGTCGGAACTCGGGTCGCTTCAGCAGGGCATACGTCTGCAGGCAAGTGTCCTCCGGCGGCAGCCCGAACGTCCAGCCGATGCTCACGTGGAACGCGTCGTCGACAAGCTCGGTCGCGTGGACCTGGTACAGGGCCGGATGATTGAAGCGCAGGGCGACGGCGTTGCACCTCGTCAACAACGTCCGGAGATGCGGGTTCTTCCCGCTAGTGCTGGCGCTGTCTCGCGACGCGGTGGGGTCCGCGACGCGGAGTATGAGGAAGGCCCGATCGGAATCGGCCGACTTGAAGAAGCCGACGCCCCGTGGAGAGAGGACAAAATCTCCCGTGGCGGAGGAGAGTGAGGATGTTAGGGACGAGAGGAAGGGACCCTTCTGGACCGTGGTCAGGGACAGTGGGCGTGAGAGGGAGATGTGGAGGGGCAGAGGGGCGTTCAGGTCGGAGGTGAGTAGCGGATACAGCTTCTGCGAGCCGAGAAGCGGCTTGATCTGGTCTAGAAGGCTAGTGAGTAGGGAGTGCTGATCCGCGTCCGGATGCCCTGCAGTAAGTCAGACGAAATGCATCGAATGACATGTTGACTCGGGAACCCACACTCGATATAGACGTGAGACGGCCAATTGCCAGCAATGTGAGGAATGGTCCTCTTGCGGCCTTGATGCAGATTGGGGTCATCGGCGGTGCTCGTTCGAACAGTGGAGGCGTACAGGTCATGGAACTGGTCCGGAAGAGGAGGTAAGTCCGAGATGCTGTTGGGTTTGCCCATGTCGTTGGTCCGGCCGGACTCGGCCTTGCTGGCTT